CAGTTTTTATCTTTTTAAATTAAGCATTTATCCATTTGTCAACTAGGGAACTGCTGGGACGGAGGACTTGGTTGCCCAGGTGGCACGTGGAGTATATCAGTGTGGTTTCAGTTTGCATTCTCCTGATGACTGATGATGCTGAGTGTCATTTCCTGTGCTTACTAGCCATCTGTCTCTCTTCTTTGGTAAAACGTCTATTCAAATCTTTTGGTCAGTTTTCATTTAGTTTTTTTTTTTGTCTGCACATTATTGTGTTGTGAGAGTTCTTCATATTTTCTAGACACAAGTTCTTTATTGGGTTGTGTTTTGCAAATGGTTTCTCCTCATCTGTGGCTTTATACTTTCTTTTTTATTTATTTATTTTTTTGAGACAGAGTTTCGCTCTTGTTACCCAGGCTGGAGTGTAATGGCGCGATTTCGGCTCACCGCAACCTCCGCCTCCTGGGTTCAGGCAATTCTCCTGCCTCAGCCTCCTGAGTAGCTGGGATTACAGGCAGGCGCCACCATGCCCAGCTGATTTTTTGTATTTTTAGTAGAGACGGCGTTTCACCATGTTGACCAGGATGGTCTCGATCTCTTGACCTTGTGATCCACCCGCCTCGGCCTCCCAAAGTGCTGGGATTACAGGCGTGAGCCACCAGGCCTAGCCTATACTTTCTTAACAGTGTCTTTTGAAGAGTAGAAGTTTTAAGCTTTAGTCAACTCCATTGACAGGGCTTAGAAGCAACAAAACCCAGTACCAATGAGCACAGCTAGTCCCTAGAGCTTGTTTTATAAATACTCTTCACTAAAGGAACCAGAAATCTATAGAGAAATGGCTGATTCCCGGGCTGGGACGGAAAGACTATAAGGTGAGCCTGGAATATTTTGTGTACCAAAAAGCAAGGAAGCACTCAATGAATAATGGAGATTAGAAAAAAAAAAAAAAAAGAAAAAGATTAAAAAAAAAAAAAAAGAATAATGGAGATTAATGAAGAGGACATTAGAACCATCTTGAAGAAGCTCCCACTGACCAAATATTTGAGCATCAAAATACATAAAGATATGAAAAAAAATACATAAAGATATAATGGATTATAACAGATTGAGTAACAGGAAACCATGAATCTAAACTGGCATTAGTAAATAAATGGAAGCCAGGAGTAGTGGCTCACACCTGTAACCCTGGTACTTTGGGAGGCTAAGGTGGGCAGATCACTTGAAGCCAGGAGTTTGAGACCAGCCTGGCCCATATAGTGAAACCCCATCTCTACTTTAAAAAAAAAAAAAAAAAAAGAGGCCGGGCGCAGTGGCTCACGCCTGTAATCCCAGCACTTTGGGAGGCCGAGGCGGGCAGATCACGAGGTCAAGAGATCGAGACCATCCTGGTCAACATGGTGAAACCCCGTCTCTACTAAAAATACAAAAAATCAGCTGGGCCTGGTGGCACATGCCTGTAATCCCAGCTACTCAGGAGGCTGAGGCAGGAGAATTGCCTGAACCCAGGAGGCGGAGGTTGCGGTGAGCCGAGATCGTGCCATTGCACTCCAGCCTGGGTAACAAGAGCAAAACTCCGTCTCAAAAAAGAAAAAAAAAAACTCAGCTAAAACTAGGTTCTTGTTACATGACAAAAAAAAGTAAAAAAGAAAAATACATAAAATTAGCCAGGCATGGTGGTGCATGCCTGTAATCCCAGCTGCTTGGGAGCCTGAGGCATGAGAATTGCTTGAACCTGGGAGGCAGAGGTTGTGATGAGCTGAGATTGCATCCCTGCACACCAGCCTGGGTGACAGAGCAAGACTCTCCAGTGATTGAATGAATGAATGAATGAATGGATGGAAAATGACAGCCCTTCCTCATGGTAGAAGACCAACTAATAAATATTTAATGGATGGAATAATGGAATCATACAATCACCATATGGTAACCAGCATGTTAATAATTTGTTCAGGCAAGAGTCATCAATCTGTGCTAAAACAAGTAGGCAATAGTTTGTTGAATAACAGGATATTTACATAGTTTTAAAATGTATTCCCCAAAAATACAGATTAATTACAAAGGAAAACATAGTACCTTTCCAGTGGGGAAACATGGAAGATATTTCCTCCTTAACCAAGTGACCGAAGTTAACCTCACCAAAAATCAACAGTGTGTACCTCCTGATACCATGTGCTGAGAAGGACACAGGATTGCATCTGTGGTATTCCTGCCAAAAAGTGCATGATTTGACTCTAGTCAAATGGAAACATCAGACGAATCCAAACTGACATTCTACAAAAATGTTAGGTGATAGGCGGATCACCTAAGGTTAGGAGTTCAAGACCAGCCTAGCCAACATGGTGAAACCCCGTCTTTACTAAAAATACAAAAGTTAGCAGGGCATGGTGGCACACCCCTGTAATCCCAGCTCCTCTGGAACCTGAGACAGGAGAATCGATTGAACCCAAGTGGCAGAGGTTGCAGTGAGCCAAGATCGCATCACTGCACTCCATCTTGAAACAGTGAAACTCCATCCCAAAAAAAAGAAATAAAACTTCTAGATGCAACTTATCTCCTGGATTGGGTAACAATACTGGATCAGATGAAGAACAAACATCGTTTTGTATAAAGATCAGTATTATAAATACCAAACATTTCTTTCTTGGAAGTTCAGGCACATGGACCCTCTAAGAAAGAGGGAGAATCTTTGCATACTTTTTTGTAGGGTTGAATTATTTTTCAAATGTTCATTAATAGTTTTTATTTTCTGTGTTGTGAGTTATCTGCCATGCTCTTTGTCCATTCATTGTAAAAATTTTCAAGTGTTGATTTTTTTTAACTTTTCTTTTTTTTTTTTTTTTTTTTTAGAGACAGAGTCTTGCTCTGTCGCCAGGCACCAGGCTGGAGTGCAGTGGCGCAATCTCCGCCTCCTGGGTTCAACCAATTCTCCTGCCTCAGCCTCCCGAGTACCTGGGACTACAAGTGCACGCCATCATGCCCAGCTAATTTTTGTATTTTTTTTTTTAGTAGAGACGGGGTTTCACCATGTTGGCCAGGATGGTCTCGATCTCTTGACCTCATGATCTGCCCACCTCGGCCTCCCAAAGTGCTGGGATTACAGGCATGAGCCACCGTGCCTGGCCAATTTTTTTTAACTTTTAAATTATAAAAGTAAAGTAGATTCCTTCTTTAAAGAGTAAATATAAATTGTACAAAGGGCATAAAGACCAAAATGAAAGCCCTTCTCATCTCCATATCCCACTCTCCAGATGTTCTCTTTCTCATTTCATTTTTTAAAGTTTGCCTCCCACTCTTTTCTTCCTTTCATTCTAAATATTTCTGTGAATTAGTCATGCAGCAAAAACATATATCTTAATGGGTTAGGACATCAAAGATTCTATAAAAGTATGTTATGTTAACCTCTATAGATATCATGGTAAAGGGATATTTGTGTTCAGAACATGTGTTTATGTGCATTAAAGAATTTTTTTTTAATAGCTACATTCAAGTCCCAGTATATTAAATAATTTAAAAAATAAGACCTCACTGGGTGCAGTGGCTCACGCCTGTAATCCCAGCTCTCAGGGAGGCAGAGGTGGGAGGATAGCTTGAGCCCAGGAGTTCGAGACCCTGTTCTCCACACACACACACACACACACACACACACACACACAAAGACAAATAAATAAATAAGACCTCATAGCAAAGCATGAACATACCTAATACATAATTAATAATGACTATAACTACATAGAGTGAGCTAGTAAATTCTAGGCTTTTGGAAGCCATTATATATCTTTTGTGTTATCTTTTTATTTAAACACACATACACACACACACACACACACACACACACACACACGAGCTTTTTTACCCTTTTAAAAAAATTAACAGGGTGCAGCCTGGCCAACATGGCAAAACCCTGTCTCTACTGAAAGTACAAACTTTAGCTGGGCATGGTGCTAAGCACCTGTAAACTCAACTACTCAGGAGACTGAAGCAGGGGAATCACTTGAACCTAGGAGGTGGAGGTTGCAGTGAGCTGAGATTGCACCGCTGCATTCCACCCTGGGCAACAGAGCAAGATTCCATCTCAAAAAAAAAAAGCGAGTTGAAATTGGTGGTATTTGGCCAAACCGTACAGGTTGGAGATAGAGATGATTCTTCCTTCACAAGATTAACTACCTGAATCTTTTGTGTTTTTTTTATCCTTAATGGAATAATAAAGAACCACTGGAAATTCTTTTGTAACCTCTTTGTTTTGTAGGTGAGAAACACATGCTTTACTAATGCTTGAATGTAGGAACAATTCAGTGAATGTGTGTTGAATTGATGGATGAGTAAATTGAGGTCCGTAGAGAGTACATGGCCTGTTCCTACTCCTCTGCAGCTTAGTGACACTTGATCTCTGTGGTTTAAGTAAAGGAACCAGAATGTTGTTAGCAGTGGAGCTTTACTCACTCATTTAACAATTTGTTTTTTTGTGTGTGACAGAGTCTCACTGTGTTACCCAGGCTGGAGTGCAGTGACAGGATCTCAGCTCTCTGCCTCCCAGGTTCTCCTCCCAGCAGTTCTCCTGCCTCAGCCTTCTCAGTAGCTGGGATTACAGGCACACACCACCACACCTGGCTAATTTTTATATTTTTAGTAGAGATGGGCTTTCACCATCTTGGCCAGGCTGGTCTCGAATTCCTAAACTCAGGTGATCTACCCGCCTTGGCTTCCCCAAGTGCTGGGATTACAGGTGTGAGCCACCATGCCCAGCCGATGAACATTTTTGAATGCTTAAGTGTGCTTTGTTGTGTTCAAGGTTAATATTTTTAACTCTCAGGTCCCTGAGGAGGGGGAGTTACTGAGGTTGTGATTTATATATTAGTAACTGTACATCCTGTGATAGAGTGACCACTTGTTCCTCTTCATTGGTGGTGAGGAAAGCCAGTGGCTTTAGCTGTCCTGGAGCCTAGGGGATGACATGTGAAATGAGAAATATGCCTCTCTGTGGCCTGGTTATGAACTGAACTTTTTTTGTGTTTTTTTCCTAGCTGGAGGAAGAAAGATCTGTGCTCAATAATCAGTTGTTAGAAATGAAAAAAAGGTAAGCTTTCTGTTTATTGTTGTGTGTGTGTTTAATAAGATGTCAGGACATGATATATATGGTAACTTGTAGTAGAAAACAAGTGACCTCCTTATATTCAGAAAATGGCATTGTGATAGTTTGGTATTTGTAATTGACAAATTATGAAAATCCATTTGCTGGGCCAGGCATGGTGGCTCACGCCTGTAATCCCAGCACTTTGGGAGGCTGAGGCGGGTGGATCACAAGGTCAGTAGTTCGAGACCAGCCTGACCAACATAGTGAAACCTCATCTCTACTAAAAATACAAAAAATTAGCCAGGCATCGTGGTAGGCACCTGTAATCTCAGCCACTCAGAAGGCTGAGGCAGGAGAATCGCTTGAACCTGGAAGGCAGATGTTGCACTGAGCCAAGATAGCACCACTGCACATCAGCCTGGATAACGTGCAAGACTCCCTCTCAAAAGAAAAAGAAAAAGGAAATCCATTTGCAAAAGTTTCACTATTACTAAAACAAAAATAATTTTATTTTAAGCCATGCTGAGTTGCTTTTATTCAGAGGTGATCTAAAATCAGATTGTCTCATGTATACCACTGTTACCTCCTAGTTTCAGTAACTAAAAATACTATAATCTTACATGTAGTTATTGATCTGGATATAAATACTGATTTCAATTACATAAAAATGTTAGGCTGGGTGCGGTGGCTCACGTCTGTAATCCCAGCACTTTGGGAGGCTGGGGCGGGCAGATCATGAGGTCAGGAGATCGAGACCATCCTGGCTAACACTGTGAAACCCCATCTCTAATAAAAATACAAAAAATTAGCTGGGCGTAGTGGCACGTGCCTGTAGTCCCAGCTACTTGGGAGGCTGAGGCAGGAGAATTGCTTGAGGCCAGGAGGCGGAGGTTGCAGTGAGCCGGAGGTTGCGGTGAGCCGAGATTGCGCCATTGCACTCCAGCCTGGGTGACAGAGCGAGACTTTGTCTCAAAAATAAATAAATAATTTTAATGTTCATGAATAATGGGTAACATCATTTTAAGTGTTTCTATTTTCTTTAAAAAGGCTTTGTTACTTATTATTCTCCCATGATAGTCAAAGGGTATTCAAATTAAAAATTAGTATAATTTTTTCAGTACTTTTCAATAAAGAAGAACATGGCCCACAGAAATAATTGTGTAGAAGCTTGATGCTTCTATAAGCTGATAAGTCTTTGTCTGCTGTTTTAAAACATGCAGTTTTGTTTAGAGAATGTCTGTGCTTTAGATGGTGCCAAGCAGGTTTGGGGGTTGCTACTGCTGAGAACCACAGCCTGTGCAGTGGCTGCTGCAGAATGGGTGCATACCACAACAGTGATGTGCTTTTTTGCTGCTTAGAACTAAAAAACAAACCTTAAAGAATAGCATAACCAATAATTTCTCCATGGTCCTGTGAAGTATTTTATTCCCACTTGTCAGGGCAGAGGAGGTTTCCCCACCCGCCTACTGAGGTGTGTGTTTTATGCAGCAGTGTCTCTTCTGCCAGCATGGCAGTTGCTTAGGAGTGGAGGGCTTTATTTATTTATTTAGATTTAGCTATTTGGATTCCACAAGCCACACTCTAAAGGACATTAGGCCTTGGTCCAGGGATGCATTTACTTTTCTTTTTTTAATTTATTTTTTTTGAGAAATGGCCTCTCTCTGTCGCCCCAGTTGGAGTGCAGCGGCTCAGTCATCGCCCACTGCAGACTCCATCTCCTGGGCTCAATTGATCTTCCCACCTCTCAGCCTCCCAAGTAGCTGGTACTACACCCATGCATGGCCACACCTGGCTAATTCTTTTTCTTAATGTTTTATAGAGACAAGGTCTCGCTATGTTGTCCAAGCTGCCTTTCCTTTATTTAAATTAAGAAATACATAGTGAAATTAACTAAGGTGGTGTTTATACTCAGAATGCATGTGTGTTTCACCACTGCCATGCCCCGATAAGTCTTTGCTCTTGTATTTTTTATTTTTAGATGGAGTTTCGTTCTTGTTGCCCAGGCTGGAGTGCAATGGCACAATCGTAGCTCACTGCAACCTCCACCTCCCGGGTTCAAGCGATTCTCCTGCCTCAGCCTCCCGAGTAGCTGGGACCACAGGGCTTGTTCCTGTGGCATTCTGGCAAGGGAGCTGTGGTTGGGCACCGTGGTTCATGCCTGTAATCCCAGCACTTTGGGAGGCCAAGGAGGGAGGATCACTTGAGCACAAGAGTTCGAGACCAGCCTGGGCAACATAGTGAGACTCTGTCTCCATTAAAAAAAAAAACAAAACTGGTATACCCGTACATTTAAATAGCACTTCATAATTCACAAATTAATCTAATCTCAAAACAACCCAGTGAACTACATGGTGGAGCTTACATTTTTAAAGGATGAAATTAGCCAGGCATGGTGGCACATGCCTGTAGTCCCAGCTACTCAGGAAGCTAAGGCAAGAGGATCACTTGAGCCCAGGTATTCAGTGCTGTAGTGCACTAGGATCATGCCTGAGAATAGCTGCCGCCCTCTAGCCTGGGCAACATAGCAAGAGTCTGTCTCTAAATAAAATAAAGAAATAAAACAATGAAACTAAAGCTCAAGAAGTTAGGCATGTTATCCCAGGACTCAGAACTAATAAAGGACAAGTGCAGGCTGAAGACTCAGGTCATCAGATTTTTATGCTGGTTCTCCTCTCGGTGAATCTTTAAGATTTTTATTTATTTATTACTTACATAGATCTTTTTAAAAAAGAGAAGACATGCTTAATGATGAAGTCTTTATCATGTAACTTTAACTAAATTACATGCCTTTCAAAATATGGTTAGGCATGGGACTTTTCTCGTGGCTTAAAAAGATGAAACGTACCAGGCGCGGTGGCTCATGCCTGTAATCTCAACACTTTGGGAGGCTAAGGCGGGTGGATCACAAGGTCAGGAAATCGATACCATCCTGGCCAACATGGTAAAACACTGTCTGTACTAAAAATACAAAAAATTAGCTGGATGTGGTGGCACTTGCCTGTAGTCTCAGCTACTCAGGAGGCTGAGGCAGGAGAACTGCTTGAACCAGTGAGGTGAAGGTTTCAGTGAGCCAAGATCGCACCACTGCACTCCAGCTTGGGTGACAGAGCAAGACTCCATCTCAAAAAAAAAAAAAGAAAAATGAAACTTGGCCGGGCACGGTGGCTTATGCCTATAATCCCAGCACTTTGGGAGGCCAAGGTGGATAGATCACTGAAGTCAGGAGTTTGAGACCAGCCTGGCCAACTTGGTGAAACCCTGTCTCTACTAAAAATACAAATTTAGCCAGGCGTGGTGGCAGGTGCCTGTAATCCCAGCTACACAGGAGGCTGAGGGCAGGAGAATGTCTTGAACCCAGGAGGCAGGTTGCAGTGAGCTGAGATTGCGCCATTGCACTCCAGCCTGGGCAGCAAGAGCAAAACTCCGTCTCAAACAAAAAAAAAAAAAAATGGAACAAATTTGGGGGTTGTGAAGTTCTCTCTCTTACTTCTCTCTGTTCCTGTTTTATGTCCTCATTGTTTAGGAGAGTGTGTCTTGAAAAATCACTCTTAATTTTCATCAGAAAATGTAAAGATGACTTTTTCTGGGAGTGAAAATTTCACTCCTAGTTTATCATATGTAGAAGTGTTCTTTGTTTGTTAATTAACCCTTATGGAAAGTTATTTCTATTTTAGAAACTTGAATGTAAATTTATTTTAGCTTATAGTTGGGACCCTTAAATGCCTTCTAAAAGTCAGTTTGATAAAGGATTCATATGTAGGTCTATGTGTGTAATGGTTAAATAAATATACCAAGCATTGAGGATTAAAAAGAACTTGATATACTGTTAATTTCGAAAGCCTTCCAAATACTTACATTGAAAAGTATTTTAAATGTAGTTGGTCATGCAAGAACTGAGAGCTTAGTCAACACTTGAATTCAGAAGTGATCATTAAACATACATAGTTAAGATAGTTATATAATCACTTCAGCCAGATGGTCATGATTTTCAAGTGCAGAATTTACTCCCAACTGTAGGATTAAACTGAAGCCAGATGCAGATTTGGGAGCTGGTTTGGTTTTGCTCCCTTCTCCAGGCTTTTTAGTGTCAAAGAAGGGGCTCCAAAGCCAAAGTATGAGGCATGGATTTTTGGAGTCAGAATTCATCCTATCGGTGCCAATGCAGGATTTCTGTCAGGAGTAAAAACTGGTTTGACCATAAAGCCCCCAAATTCTGAAGAGGTCCCGTGCAACTTCAGTCCATCCGGCTCACTGTGGGTTGCTAACTGTCTGACTGTCTCCGAGCTTGCGCTACTTACCAATGCTCATTTCACCCCTCTCTTTTCCCTTTCCTACTCTTGCTTCCTTTGCTATATCTGTGTGTCTTTAATGGTAAGACTAAAGAAAGTCTATCCACGTTATAATAAATAAATTTCATATATTTTTAGCAAACCAAATTGTTGTATATATTTTTTGGCTGCCTTTGTCCCTCTGTGTCTTGCTTTTGTTTTGTAAAATATTCTCAGCAGTATATATATATATATATATATACACACACACACACACAAACACACACATATATTTCCTTTTTATATCTATATACAGCAAAGAACTTCAGTGCAAATTTAGTCTCCTTACTGTATTTGCATTTCTCTTCATGATTCTAATATTTGGTTCTTGTTATTTTGCATTTTTAAAGCTTGCCCAGTAACACTTTAAGGTATTTGCTTCATTACTGGAATTTATTTCTTATGTAAGTAGTAAGGAAAGAATCTGGATAAAATATTCCCCTGGGGGATGGGGAAAGAAAAATTTCTGGTCCCTCTATCCCTTCTTTCATATTATGTTTATTTTCCCTTCTTGATTTTTTTGTAATACCAAGTCATTCCAGCTAATGGCTTAATACGATTTGTGACTCAGACATCAGTAATGTTGTTAAGATGACTTTTTAAAATTAAACCATTAACAATGGTTTAATTTAGCCCCTCCTGGTGGTTTGCACAGTGGAATTGAGCCTTAGAGATGGCCTAAGAAGCTAGCAGTGATGATGGGTCACAAAGATGAGCTGCCAGAGGCTACTTATCCTGTCATTGGGTGTATAAATCACAAGTCAGATTTCTTTCCTAATCATGCACGTGTCGGTAACTTGCATAGGAAGCATTCTGGCAGCCATCTCCTTAGAAAGCAGGGGGCTGAGAGGTTGTGTGTGTATGTGAAGATGAGCAGAGTCTGTTTGGTGGCCCCAGAAAAGGACACCTGTCCCTTTTTCCTTCTGCCAGCTGTACATTTGTTTATCCCTCCCTAGCACTAAGCATCTGTGGGATCTTGGCCAACTGGAGTCCTGATTATAGGAAAATCTAAATCTTTTCTTGACAACCCCAAAATCCTGGTGTTTTTTTAGTAAAAATATTTAAAATTACATTTTTCAAATTTGAGTTGGATTTATAGCAAGTGAAGCTCTGAAAATCATTTTTATAACAGAATCAACTACCAAGTGCATTTACTAGAAACATAAGAGACCCGGGGTTTTTTTTGTTTTTTTTTGTTTGTTTGTTTTAGATGGGGTCTTGCTCTGTTACCCAGGCTGGAGTACAGTGGCACAATCACAGCTCACTACAGCCTCAAGCTCCTGGGCTCAAGCGATCCTCCCACTTCAGCTTCCCTAGTAGCTGGGACAACAGGCATGCGCTGCCATGCCTGGCTAATTTTTTTAAAAAGTTTTTGTAGAGACAGGGGTATCACTGTGTCAACCAGGCTGGTCTCGAACTCCTGGGCTCAAGTGACCGTCCTGCCTTGGCCTCCCAGAGTACTGGGATGACAGGCATGAGACACCGTACCTGGCTGAAACCTAGCCTTTATTGCATCTTTGGATGACATCAGATGTTTTTACTTCCCAGGTGGCAAAAAGTGCCTGTACATTCCTTTCATGTAAGTTGCTGTTTTAACCTAAGCAAGAGCCTATTAACGAGGTGTTACTAGCTTAGTAATTTATCCGCACTGATGCCTACCCATTTCCAGTGCGTGAGTAATGCTGGGGTTTTTAATTAAAGAAGTTTCTGTCTCAGATTCTTTTCTTACTACTACTCATTCTGGAGTGTAAGTGTAAGCCACACAATGAGATAAATACAACACTTATATTTTCATCTTTGTGTAGAATTTCAATTTGCCATAAATCATGAGATTTCTGTAACTTGTGTGCCGGATATCTTGGGTCTCACTAACCAGACATACATTCTGCCGTTTCTAACCTGGGCCTCAGTTTCCTCTTCCTCCAGTTGGTTCCAAAACAGTCAAGCAGTACATCCTCTGCATTTCCCAGTTACTTGGAATAGAGCCAGGTGTGATTTGGCTTCTTGTTAAGGTCATGATGGTTCACTGATGATTGCCTGTGCTAATGCAGTGTCTTAGGTTGTATGGCCTGTGGCCTAACCTAGGAAATTTTTCTCCAGTTTTGTTTTTCCTAAAGTATTTTTGTCATTTTCCTCTCGTGTTTCACACTGCATGTCGTTTAAAAAACTTTTTATTTAAAAATAATTTTATATTTTTAGAGTAGTGGAGAACTAGTGCATCCAGTTCTCATAGGCCTTCCCCCAGCTGCCCCTAATTGAACATCCTACACAGCCCTGGCACACTTATCAAAACTAAGAAATTACCATGAGCACCATACTCAGCTGAAACAAGAGACTTCATTCAGATCTCACCAGTTTTCTCACTAACGTCCTTTTGTGTTCCAGCATCCAAACTAGGATCTGGCAGTTAGTTGTCGTACCTCCTTTGTCTCTTCTATATGTGACAGTTTCTCAGCCTTTTCTTGAATGCATGTAGTTTTTATAAGAAAAGTTTAAGTATGGCCAGGTGCAGTAGCTCATGCCTGTAATCCCAGCACTTTGGGAGGCCAAGGTGGGCGAATCACCTGAGGTCAGGAGCTCGAGACCATCCTGGCTAATGTGGTAAAACTGTCTCTACTAAAAATATAAAAATTAGCTGGGCGTAGTGGTGTGCACCTGTAATCCTAGTACTTTGGGAGGCTGAGGCGGGCGGATCACTTGAGGTCAGGAGTTTGAGACCAGCCTGGCCAACATGGTGAAACCCCATCTTTACTAAAAATACAAAAATTAGCCAGACATGGTGGTGCATGCCTGTAATCCCAGCTACTTGGGAGGCTGAGACAGGAGAATCTCTTGAACCCAGGAGGTGGAGGTTGCAGTGAGCTGAGATTGCACCACTGCACTCCAGCCTGAGCGACAAAGTGAGACTCTCAAAAATAAAAACCCCCAACAACTTTAAATAGGTACACATATGTAACACATGCTAGCCTGCCCTTTGGGCTCTTTTCACTGTGTCCTGGTGTCCCTCCCTGTTCTTCCCTCATCTTTCCCTTTCTCTTCCCACTCCCCTGACCCTCTCATTAAAGGTCTCACCCCCTCCCTCTGCTGATAATCAAGTGCTGAGTCAGGCCAAGAACATAAATCAGGTGCTCTGAATTTCTCCTCCCAGGCTCCCATGCTTTCATTCTGTACCTGAGAAAACCATTTTAACATTTTCTGTTCTAGCCTTTATGTAATTACCATTAATTTCTATGAGCTAATTTAATGTCCTCTTCAGAGTCTATGGCTGGAAAGTAATGAGTAATAATTATCATCTTTGCTACTGTTTTGGCCCATAACATCATAAATACCCATTCTTGGAACTTGCTAAAAGTTACTGAAATTAGTGAGAACCAATTGATATGTCCAGCATAAAGCTGCTCTGCATGACATCTGTATAACTGCTTTGCATGTGTGTATTTTAATTGTTGGTATTGCTTGGTAATCATTTATTCAAGAATTAACAAAATTCAACTCGGGTTTAGATTTTGGTAGAATTTTGGGGAGGGTACAACCGTTCTTTCTTTTTAATTCTACCTCTTCCAAATTTATTAACTTGTTTCTTTAAGTTCAAATGGATACAATCATATGCAGATTCTGGCATGTCTATGCATAGGTACACTTTTTCTCCCCTCACAGTAAGTAAAATTTCAAGTAAAATTTTGTGAGCATAATGGCCTTAACTCCCTATGAAACTTCCCTGTTACACTTTTTTTTTTTTTTTACATTAACTAACGTTAATTATGTGTTTGTTCTAGAACAGTTGTACATCAACCGCTCTTTTGGTTGATTTTTGTGGAACTTTTAACTCTTTGATCTTTTAGAGAATCCAAGTTCATAAAAGACGCAGATGAAGAAAAAGCTTCCTTGCAGAAATCCATCAGTATAACTAGTGCCTTACTCACAGAAAAGGATGCCGAGCTGGAGAAACTGAGAAATGAGGTAGAGTACAACCCAGGGCTCACAGCTTTCACTCCGCCTCCTTTTGTTCAAACTCCGAGCCTAAGCCAAACAACTGTGTTTCAGGTCACAGTGCTCAGGGGAGAAAACGCCTCTGCCAAGTCCTTGCATTCAGTCGTTCAGACTCTAGAGTCTGATAAGGTGAAGCTTGAGCTCAAAGTAAAGAACTTGGAGCTTCAACTGAAAGAAAACAAAAGGCAGCTCAGCAGCTCGTCAGGTAAAGGACGCCTGCCCAGGGCTTCTCCTCCCAAGGAGCCCTTTCTAGTACAGATGCCCTTCGAAGACAGCTCTCATGCTGCTTTGACTCCGACTCTCCTTAGCTCTTCCACCACTTAATGGGCTTTCTTGTGGTCTGTGAATGTTGTCACAAACCTACAATGGTGGCTGCCTGCTGCTATGCAGACTGGGCGGTATTAAAGTACACAACAGTGCAGGAGAAGGAGGTGTTTCCTGTGGTAAAGAAGGGTGGATCGCCACTGTACATTCAGATGAATGTGACCGACATTCTTACTCGGGAGTTGGCCGGCCTGAGCGAGAGCACGTGAAGGGCAGGGCTGGTGTCTGTGAGAGCCCATAGGGTCCCACACAAGGACAGGACCTCATCCACATGTGCTCAAAGTGGTATATTGGGAAGTCCACAGGAAAATGAGTTTTTAACACTGGCCCTTTCACTGCAGTTTAGATTGTGATTAAAAATATACATATATCCTCCCTCCATTTGTTTTATTTTTTTTTTCTCCTCAAATTTAAGGTAATACTGATACTCAGGCAGACGAGGATGAAAGAGCCCAGGAGAGTCAGGTAATGTTCTCACCTTATTGCTTTGCTTGGTTGCTATTTTTCAAAATCATTTAATCTTTTGGTTTATTTTCCTTCTCATTTGATGCCTTTGGTATCAGTTAGTCATTTGAATGGATAATACATTCCTCTGGTCCAAACATTAAACAATTAAAAATTATATACATTAAATGTTCTCCTCCAAACCTTCTGTCTCTTCTGCTCAGTTCCCAATTCCCCAAACAAGAAATTACTGTTATTAGTGTCTTTCCTTTTCAGAGATTTTAAAAAATGTATGTATAAGCCAGCACTAATACAGTCTTCCTTCTCTTTTTTTTTTCTTTTATATAAATGATGGCATACTACATAAACAGTTCTGGACCTAACCTTTTTTATAGCTATGTAATGTTCTATTATGTGGATTTATCATAATTTAGTTCGCTGTTGGTTGACAGTGACCCTTGGGATGTTTCTGGTCCTTTGGGTGTTTTATAAACAATGCTATAAGTAATTATCTTGGGCAGCTATCATTTACATATTAGTATTTCTGCAAGATGAATTCCTAGAAGTAGAATTGCTCTGTTAAAGGGTTTGTTATTTATCTTAATCTTTAAAAGACTGGTTTCTTAAAAACTCAGTCTCTTAGAGCAAACATTAACAAAACAACTTTAGTTTTAAACTAAAAATGGGACCTGGCCAGGAACGGTGGCTCATACCTATAATTCTGGCACTTCGGGTTGCCAAAGTGGGATGATTGCTTGAGCCCAGGAGTTTGAGACCAACCTGGACATCGTAAGACGTCATCTCTCAAAAAACAAAAACAAAAATAAAAGTAGCCTGCAGCCTGGGTGACAAGAGCATTTTTTTAAGAGCCTGGGCCAGGTGTAGTGGCTCACACCTATATTCCCAGCACCCAGCACTTTGGGAGGCTGAGGCAAGAGGACTGTCTGAGGCCAGGAGATTGAGACCAGCCAGAGCAACAATAAATAGCAAGACCCTGTGTCTACAAAAAATAAAATTAGTCGGGCATGGTGGCATGCTCCTGTAGTCCCAGTTACCCCAGAAGCTGAGGCAGGAGGATTGCTTGAGTCCAGAAGGTTGAGGCTGCAGTGAGCCATGATCATGCCACTGCACTTCAGCCTGAGTGACAAAGTGAGAATTCTCTCAGAAAAAAAAAAAAAAAAAAAAAAGGTAGGGTGGAGGTCCTGGGTACAGTAGCTCTCACTTGAAATCCCAGCACTTTGGTAGGCCAAGATAGGCAGATTGCTTGAGCCCAGGAGTTTAAGACCAGCCTGGGCAACATGGGTGCTCCAGCCTGGGTGACAGAGCAAGACCCTGTCTCAAAACAAACAAAAATTTGTAAAAAGGGATTATATAAAGGCAAAGTATTCTGTATTTGTAAATATAATTGTATATAGCAACAAACATCCATCTTTCAATTTTTTTTTTTTTTTTTAAGATGGGGTTTCACCATGTTGGTCAGGCTGGTCTTGAACTCCCGACCTCAGGTGATCTGCCCACCTTGGCCTCCAAAGTGCTTCGATTACAGGCGTGAGCCACCACGCCAGCCCATCTTTTAATTTTGATATATTTTGAACATATTTGATATATGTTCAAAATTCAAAAGTACAAAAGCCACTTTTTATTTTTAAATAAAAGGAAAACTCACCTTGAGGTTTGTTTTAGTTGCCAGACATCTCCTTTGAGGGGCATGCAATGATTCAATGTTGTACAAACTTACAGGGAGTAGCACTGTCCTCTTTTATGTCTACTGGGCTTAATAACTAACAGTGTCTTCTCTCCCCTTTCCTTTCTGCTTTGGTTTGTTTCATCTGCTGCTGACAACACTTTTCTTCCAATCAGCAAATGGTTCGTTTCATGTTTCCTAATTTTTGTACATGCATGTGTGTGTTTGTGTGTATGGTTTCCCACTAATGTCCATTGTTTGGCTTTTTCTTCCTCCTGCAATGGAGCTCTTAACACAAGAATGACTTAGAAAATGCACTTTGGGAAGTGAGGATAGACTCAGTAGGTCTGCCTTCAGAGGTGGCCTCCATGATGCTGGGGATATTCTGTGGAGAAAGACTGGAGTGATTGCTAACTTTGCTTTGTAACTTGCCCCAGCAGGAGAAAAAAAACAAATATTTCTTTAAGAAGTAAAATATGTATGTATATATGTGTGTGTGTATATATGTATATATATTTTTAATATTATAAAGTGGGATTTTTCAATTCAGAGAAATGAGACCTTTTTATTATTTGTAGAAGAAGAAATAAATTTTTTGTTTTTAAGTTAAAGTGCCCTTAGTTTGAAAGGAAATGTTCAGGACAAGAGCAGTCCCTCCTGTTGGCCACCTTGTCCCCCCCGCCCCAGGGCTCGGCACAGGTGCTCTTCCTCTGGGTGGCACCTGAACGCTGCCCTGTTGGCGTGCCAGGCTGTTTGTCCTCGGTTTGGAGAAAGCTTTAGCCTTCTCCATTTTCCCTGAGGACATGTTTACTTATCGCTCCACCATTACCAGTCAGCTGATAAAGGACAGTCTGAAGGAAATTTCCATATGACTTCTTCAAATCTACAGAACGGAAAAGTCCTAGATGAATTCTGGAGTTTAATGGAAGAACTAACCTTTTTATGCATTTTGTAAAGGGGTGTGTGTGTGTGTGTGTGTGTGTGTGTGTGTGACTTTTGTAGAATGCAAGATTTTATACACACACACACACACACACACACACACACACACACACACACATATATGTTTTATTTTTTATTTTCTATTTTTTGAGATGGAGCCTTGCTCTGTTGCCCAGGCTGGAGTGCAATGGCCTGATCTTGGCTCACTGCAACCTCTGCCTTCTGGGTTCAAGCAATTCTCCAGCCTCAGCCTCCTTAGTAGCTGGGACTACAGGCATGCATCACTACACCCAGCTAATTTTTGTTTTTTGTTTTTTTTTTTGTATTTTTACTAGAGACAGCATTTCACTATATTGGCCAGGTTGGTCTCAAACTCCTGACCTTAGGTGATCCGCACACCTCCGCCTCCCAAAGTGCTGGGGTTACAGGTGTGAGCTACTGTGCCCAGCCAATATTTTTTATGTGGTAGAATGAAAACAAACGTGTGCCCATATATTCAGAAATGTAAGATTATGACTTTTGGAGAATGCAAGATTTTTTTTCCAATAAAAAATTTTTCTTATACTTTTTCAAGAATCAATAGCACTGCACCAACCCACAGATTTATATGTTTAAGAATAATTTCAGTGGGGTGCGGTGGCTCATGCCTGTAAATCCCAATACTTTGGGAGGTGGGCAGATCACGAGGTCAGGAGTTCGAGACCAGCCTGGCCAATATGGTGAAACCCCATCTCTACTAAAAATACAAAAAATTAGCTGGGCATGGTGGCATGCGCCTGTAGTCCCAGCTACAAAGGAAGCTGATGCAGGAGAATCGTTTGAACCCAGGAGGCGGAGGTTGCAGTGAGCCAAGATCCTGCCACTGCATTCCAGCCTGGGTGACACAGTGAGAAGAAAAAAAAAGAGTGATTTCATTTGCCTCAAAAACAAATGAAGTGTATCCATTTATACCTAGAAATATTCAATGAAGTGTACTTTAAATGTTTTTTTAAAGATAAAAGAGCATCTACTCAGTAAGGAACATTTGAAGAATACTGAAAGGTGTGAGGGGTTAAAAGAAACTGCCATAACCTCACCACCTAGACATGACTTCATTTAAGTTCAGCTCTTTACTCACACAATCTCAGCATTCCTGTCCTCAGGGAGAGTGAAAAGTATGGGTTCCTAATAGCCACTGTTGGCCTCTTCGGCACACTTTGCTGCCGTAGCTTAAAGGCATATACTTCATGACTTGTTGATGCTCCAGCTTATATATATATTCTTGTCATTTTACACATCTCACTTCTTTTTTTTTAACAGATTGATTTCCTAAATTCGGTAATAGTGGACCTTCAAAGGAAAAATCAAGACCTCAAGATGAAGGTGGAGATGATGTCAGAAGCAGCCCTGAATGGGAACGGGGATGACTTGAACAACTATGACAGGTATTTCATAGGAAGACATACGGATTGCTGTAATCCCAGCACTTTGGGAGGCTGAGGTGGGTGGATCACTTGAGGTCAGGAGTTCAAGACCAGTCTGGCCAACATGGTGAAACCCCATCTCTACTAAAAATACAAAAGTCAGCCAGATGTGGTGACACAGGCCTCTTTTTTTTAAATTAAAAATTTTTTTTTTTTTTTTTTTTTTTTTGAGACGGAGTTTCGCTCTTGTTACCCAGGCTGGAGTACAATGGCGCGATCTCGGCTCACCGCAACCTCCGCCTCCTGGGTTCAGGCAATTCTCCTGCCTCAGCCTCCTGAGTAGCGGGGATTACAGGCACGTGCCACCATGCCCAGCTAATTTTTTGTATTTTTAGTAGAGACGGGGTTTCACCATGTTGACCAGGATGGTCTCGATCTCTTTTTTTTTTTTTTTTGAGACGGAGTTTCACTCATGTTACCCAGGTTGGAGTGCAATGGCGCGATCTCAGCTCACTGCAACCTCCGCCTCCTGTGTTCAGGCAATTCTCCTGCCTCAGCCTCCTGAGTAGCTGGGATTACAGGCACGCACCACCATGCCCAGCTAATTTTTTGTAGTTTTAGTAGAGACGGGGTTTCACCATGTTGACCACGATGGTCTCGATCTCTTGACCTCACGATCCACCCGCCTCGGCCTCCCAAAGTGCTGGGATTACAGGCTTGAGCCACCACGCCCGGCCCAAAAAAAAATTTTTTTTTTTAAAGACGGGGTTTCACTATGTTGGTCAGGCTGGTCTTGAACTCCCAACCTCAGGTGATCCGCCCGCCTTGGCCTCCAAAGTGCTTGGATTACAGGCATGAGCCACCACGCCCGGCCTAGACACATGCCTCTTAATCCCAGCTCCTTAGGAAGCCGAGGCAGGAGAAGTGCTTGAATGTGGGAGGCGGAGGTTGCAATGAGCTGAGATTGCGCCATTGTACTCAAGCCTGGGTGACACAGCAAGACCCTGTCTCAAAAAAAAGCTATACAGATTGGAACCTTAGTTTCATCAAAATAAATGTATGTTTTTAAAGTGAGGTTCTCTAGTGGATTGTAAAAAGACACAACAAAAAAAAACACAATTGTTTTGTAGTTCCTTTGCCATAAATAGATTTTTGTAAATCTGGCAAGCAAGAGGAGACTACAAATGGTTTAACATGAAAATTTTAAATGTGAGGCTGTCACGGTGGCTTACGCCTGTAATCCCAGCACTTTGGGAGGCCAAGGTGGACAGATCACCTGAGGTCAGGAGTTTGAGACCAACTTGGCCAACCTGGCAAAACCCCATCTCTACTAAAAAAAACAACAAAATTAGCTGGGCATGGTGGAGTGTGTCTGTAATCCCAGCTAGTTGGAAGGCTGAACCCAGGAGGCGGAGGGTGCAGTGAGCTGAGATCGTGCCACCGCACTCCAGTCTGGGCAACAGAGCAACTCCAACTCAAAAAAAAAAACAAAAAAACAAAAAAAAAAAAAAAAACCTTTTTTTTTTTTTTTTTTTTTTGAGACGGAGTTTCGCTCTTGTTACCCAGGCTGGAGTGCAATGGCGTGATCTTGGCTCACCGCAACCTCCACCTCCTGGGTTCAGACAATTCTCCTGCCTCAGCCTCCTGAGTAACTGGGACTACAGGCACGTACTACCATGCCCAGCTGATTTTTTGTATTTTTAGTAGAGACGGGGTTTCACCATGTTGACCAGGATGGTCTCGATCTCTTGACCTCGTGATCCACCCGCCTCGGCCTCCCAAAGTGCTGGGATTACAGGCTTGAGCCACCGCGCCCGGCCAAAAAAACCTTTAAATGTGGAATAATGTACTACTTACACTGGATGCTCACAGACTTGGCCATAATTAGTTCTTGCTTAATTTTTAAATTCTTTGCAAGCGTTCTTGTCTCTTCAGTTTCTTCTGATAAATTTTCTGATTTCACACATTAACATTTATAGTGATGATCAGGAGAAACAGTCCAAGAAGAAACCTCGCCTCTTCTGTGACATTTGTGACTGCTTTGATCTCCACGACACAGAGGACTGTCCTACCCAGGCACAGATGTCAGAGGACCCTCCCCATTCCACACACCATGGCAGTCGGAGTGAGGAACGGCCATACTGTGAAATCTGTGAGATGTTTGGACACTGGGCCACCAACTGCAATGATGATGAGACCTTCTGATGAAGCCTCAAGTGGAGAAGTGGGCTTTCTCAGATGCACTCGCATTGACACAACGTAACACCAGCATTGTGTGTGCAGACTTCGGGAGAACTCATGTTATTTTTTACCCCATCAACAAATCTAGGAAAATATTTTGATCTTCAACAAATTGCCCTTTAGTCTCCCCTTATGAGTTAGAATAATAAATATTTAGTAGGTGAAATTTCACCTCAGATTTTGTTTTCTTGGTATTTAAGTTTGAAGACATTGCACCAGATGCCATTACATTTATTGTCCCTAGACCTCATAGGAAAATCCCTACCCTTACGATACCTTATTTAAGTAACTTTAAATTATGCCGTTACTTTTCATATTTGCACTAAAATATTTCCAGGCTGCATTTGTATATTTAGATTTTTTTGGTTAAGCTTTGACACTGGAATGAGTTGAAAAAATGTGCCAATTTGCATTTTCATCTACTCATTTAAAGTATTTTATTCTTATTCAAAGAAATATCTGAGCTCTTTGCACTACCTGTTATCAGTAGTGCCTTTATTTCAGGCCTGATAATACTTCGGTGTGATTATAAAATCTTGAAGCAGGTAAAGAGAGGGAAAACCCCCAAACTGCTGTGGGGACATTTTATAATCTATATGCTGCACCCACTTACTCTACTGTGGTGTTTGGTTCATTAGTTTTGCATAATTTCGGCTTCTATATATTATATGTATATATTTTTTAAAAATCTCTATTTTGGGAAAAAACATACACAATGTGTCTTTCTTTTTGGATATTTACCTTTATGAAAAAGGAAACACTTAAAATGATCATTAGGACATGACAGACTAGGCCAGAAATAACATCACGTGGCTTTGCAACTATTTTCATTTGTTTTCCTTTTATTTCTTTACTATATTTAAATAACTGGAGGAATTTTCTCCAATTTTTTTTTTCTTTCTCTAGCAGGTATCCCCAGCAGTCAGTTAACAATAGCCACTATAAAACACCTAAATTAACCAATCTACAATCTTCTTTTACAAGTTTTTTTTACTGCTTTTAGATGAATGTACGATGAGAAATTCAACATTAATAATTTTGGATTTTCTTATCACAAAAAAGAAAATGAAGGACCTCAAAGCACCAGAACAGTTTATCAACCAGTTTGAATCTATTTATCTTCATTTGAATGTCTTCTAGCATATGTAAAAAGTAATAAAATGTATCTTCCATGCTACATGTACAATAAGAACTTCTATAATTGTATATATGCCTTTGATGTATTTTCCCCTCAAGATTATCAACTGTGTGTTTGACAGTGAATATTAAATCTGTTATGAGTTGAAATTTTTGATTATAAATGTAATACAAATTCTTTCACAAACAGAAAACATGTAAAGCAGTATTAAAATCTGGCCAAACAAGTGTTCTGTATCTACTTTAATAAATGCTTATTCTTTTTTGTTTTGTTGGTTTTATTTTGTTTTAGACAGGGTCTCTGTCATCGAGGCTGGAATACAGTGGCACAAACATAGGTTGCTGCAGCCTCCAACTCCTTGGCTCAAGCAGTCCTCTCACCTCAGCCTCCAAAGTAGCTACGACTACAGGCAAGTGCCACCACACCTGGCTAATTTTTTAATTTTTTGTATAGAGTGAGTCTCCCTATGTTGCCAGAGCTGGTTTTGAACTCCTGAGCTCAAGGCCGGGCGTAGTGGCTCATGCCTGTAATCCAAGCACTTTGGAGGCCAAGGCGGGTGGATCACCTGAGGTCGGGAGTTAAAGACCAGCCTGACCAACATGGTGAAACCCTGTCTTAAAAAGAAAAAAAAAGGCCGGGCACGGTGGCTTACGCCTGTAATCCCAGTACTTTGGGAGGCCGAGGCGGGTGGATCACGAGGTCAAGAGATTGAGACCATCCTGGTCAACATGGTGAAACCCCGTCTCTACTAAAAATACAAAAAATCAGCTGGGCATGGTGGCGCATGCCTGTAATCCCAGTTACTCAGGAGGCTGAGGCAGGAGAATTGCCTGAACCCAGGACGTGGAGGTTGTGGTGAGCCGAGATCGCGCCATTGCACTCCAGCCTGGGTAACGAGTGAAACTCCGTCTCAAAAAAAAAAAAAAAAAAAAAAATAGCCAAGCATGGTGACACAAATTTGTAGTCCCAGCTGCTGAGGAAGTTGAGGCAGGAGGATTGCTTGAGCCCAGGAGATAGAGGCTGCAGTGAGCAATGATTGTGCCACTGCACTCCTAGGCAACAGAGTAAGACACAGTCTCTTAAAAATTTTTGTGGTATGTCTTTCTGTTCTTCTTAAAGTGTTTCGTGAGATATTTAGCATAATGTATCTATGGTTATCCATTACTATATCACGCTGCATTACCTGACAAAAAAATAAATGTGTCATCATATGGTGCCAACTGTCTATTCATCCATGAAGTCTTAGAAACTGAAAAGTCAATATGACATTTACAAAAATTATTACTGAACCAACTGAGTGCTAGGCCTTTGAACATGCTTTTCTTGTTTTGAGGCAAGGTCTCACTGTCACTCAGGTTGGAGTGCAGTTGTACAATCTCGGCTCACTGCAACCTCTGCCTCCAATGCTCAAGTGATCCTTCCACCTCACCCTCCTGAATGGCTGGGACCACAGGCGCATGCCACCACGCCTGGCTAATTTTATTGTTTTATTTTCTTTGAAACAGGGTTTCACTCTGTCGCCAGGGTGGAGTGCAGTGCTGCCATCTTGGTTCACTCCAACCTCTGCCTCGCAGGTTCAAGCAATTCTCCTGCCTCAGCCTCCCAAGTAGCTAAGACTACAGGCGTGTGCCACCACACCCAGCTAATTTTTGTATTTTTAGTAGAGATGGGGGTTTCACCATGTTGGCCAGATTAGTCTCAAACTCTGACCTTAGGTGATCTGTCCACCTCAGCTTCCCAAAGTGCTGGGATTACAGGCATATGCCGCCATACTAGCTAATTTTTGTATATTTGGTAGAAACGGGGTTTTGCTTCGTTGACCAGGCTCAAACCCCTGAGTTCAAGCGATCTGCCCATGATGGCCTCCCAAAGTGCTGGGATTAGAGGCGTGAGCCACCATACCTCACCTAACATCCATTTCATGAATACAGATTCCCTCACAGGTAGGTATTTCCAAAGCAGTTACTCCTTGAATATTACTTCTAGGCCAGGTGCCGTGGCTCACGCCTGTAATCCCAGCACTTTGGGAGACCGAGGCGGGTGGATCATGAGGTCAAGGGATCGAGACCATCCTGGCCAACATGGTGAAACTCTGTCTCTACTAAAAATACAGAAAAATTAGCTGGGCGTGGTGGCACGTGCCTGTGGTCCCGGCTACTTGGGAGGCTGAGGTGGAAGAATCGCTCGAACCCAGGAGGCAGAGGTTGCAGTGAGCCGAGATTGCACCGCTGCACTCCAGCCTGGCGACAGAGCAAGACTCTGTCTAAAAAAAAAGAATATTACTTCTACCTAAATAATATGCTAATACACAGTAGTTCTCAACTTTGGTACTGACCTTAGGTGACTAAAAGACTCTAAACAAGTCTGCAGTATTTGTAGGGGAACTATAGTAGTTCAGCAATGTCTCTCCTGGTCTATAAAAGCACCTGCTGTTACTTAACCATTTTCTAGCATCCTGCTTCTGCTTAGGGATAGTTTACCATCCTCCTCTTAGGTTCTACACTCATGCATGTTTGAGATTTCACTAACCTGGGGCATTTCACTTCTTACAGTAAGTTATACCCTCATTTAACAGCTCATAACATGACCTGCTGAACACAACATTTATTCCCACAGGTGTTAAAATGATGCATTCTCTTGGCTATGAGTCTGTAAATAGAAAAAAAAAATGCATTATCAGCCAGGAGCAGTAGAGCTATCTGTAGTCCCAGTTACTCCAGAGGCTGAGGCCATATGATAGCTGGAACCCAAGAGTTTGAGCCCAGCCTGGGCAACATAGGAAAACCCCATCTCTAATTATTATTTTTTAAATTCTCAGTTGAGGCTGGAGAACCACCTTGAAAACCAGGTTGAGAACTAACGCATGGAAGCGTTTCCATGTGTGTTAAAGTGTTAAAACAGAAATGTCCTTGTTGGAATAAGATTGAGAACAGAAGTTCTGGTTGAGTGGCTGCTTTTCTGCACCATCCACAAATACCACTTTTTGCTTGTTCAGACTCTGTGGTAAGCGCTTCATAACGTAAAGTGTATAGAAGATGCTGAAGGAAGCTATGCATTCGAAGAAGAAAAATTTCATCTTTGAGCAGATCCCCAAAGCCCATTTCCACCCCAAAGCATCTAAAAGCGTATGTCCTACTAATAGAAGCTTATTGAGCAATTAAGTTCCAGGCACCAGCTAAGCTTCTCACGTGGACTACGTGATGTAATTCATACCTTCTTTGATCCTCACTACAACTCACAGGTAACATGGAATTTTACTGAGGCAAGTGATGGGACCCGGATTTCAGAAGCAATACTATTTGTGTGAAATGCCACATCGCTGTAAAAGTCTGTTAGGAAGGGATTACAAAAAAAGAGTCCACTCAAAATTCCCTCGATCCCTATATTCATACATTTTAGCTCACAAATCAAAACAGTCTTCATTAGTGCAAAGCTAAGAACCTTGTGACTACTATAATTTAAAAGATTTGAGCAGTGGGTGGCGGCGCGCACCTGTGGTCCCAGCTATTCCGGCGCCTGAGGTGGGAGGGTCACTTGAGCCAGAGAGGTGGAGGCTGCAGTGAGCTATGATTACGTCACTGCACTCCAGCCTTTCTCAAAAAAATGTCTTTTTCTATCCAAGTTTAGCCTTAAGATATCATTTTACAGCAAGCACCTTTGCTGAAAATAAAAATTCGCGATTTTTAAAAGAGACTAGAGAGTGTCCGTTTTTTTTGATATGAAGTCTGCCCAGGCTGGTCTCGAACTCCCGGCCTCAAGCGATTACTCCTACCTCGGCTTCTTAAAGTGTTAGGGATTACAGGCGTGAGCCACCGCGCCCAGGCTGAGTCCACATCTTTAAAATCGCTTTTCAGCGCCAGACGACTCCTGGAGTGAGGCAGGGTCTGAAACGCGCCTTGAGTCTTAGCGGAGTCTGAACAGCTACCGGGGTAGAAAAAGCGGTGGACACTAGGGCCACACGAGATAGAAGCCGAACCCGGCGATCCCAGTTTCCGGGTTGGCGTGCGCAGCCGCACAGGTCACGTGGACGCGTTGTCACGTGACTGCGTCCATGGCCCTCCCGTTGGAACCAGTGGCCGTGGTGGACACTGTGGGGTAGGGGCTGTTGGGGCAAGATGGCGGCGCACCTATCTTACGGGCGAGTGAACCTGAACGTGCTGCGCGAGGCGGTGCGTCGCGAGCTTCGCGAGTTCCTGGACAAGTGCGCGGGAAGCAAGGTGAGGGGCGGGAGGCAGCAACACCGCCCTCGCCTCCCCTGATCCGGCCTGCCTTAATCCGTTCTCTGACCGCCTGAGATCGCGGTGTACGAGGTCCCAGGGGTTTTCCAGGAGGCGAACCTCAAGGCCTTTCTACCCGCACCCCTGTGCAGGCGTTAACGATGAAGTGGGGGGGCCCTGGGCGAACAGCCTGGAGCCGGAGTGGCTTCCAGATTGTTTTGTGAGAGCAGAGTAAGCCACCGTGATATCCTGGCTCCTGATAAGCCGGTTTACGTCAGGTGCCTCTTCTGCTGCCTGCCGAGGCGCGGGACGGGTGGGCGGCCCAAGAATGTGGATGGTCAAGTGTCCATTCATTACAGGGATCATACGTGTCAGTACAAATCGTACGTTAGAAAGTCTCTTGAAACACCAACACCTTACAACCTGCTGTTCATGCCTGTTGGGAGAGAAGTTGTAATCATTTGGGCTTTTAAACCGGCCTCCTAAAATAGTATTACTTCTCTAGTAGCACCCTTTTCACAAGGGAGTCAGGAACTAGATAAGAGATTTTATAGAATTTTTTTTTTTTTTTGAGACAGAGTCTTGTTCTGTCCGCCAGGCGCCAGGCTGGAGTGCAGTGGCGCAATCTTGGCTCACTGCAACCTCCGCCTCCTGGGTTCAAGCAATTCTCCTGCCTCAGCCTCCCTAGTAGCTGGGACTACAGGTGCACGCCACCACGCCCAGCTAATTTTTGTATTTTTTAGTAGAGACGGGATTTCACCACGTTGGCCAGGATGGTCTCGATCTCTTGACTTCCTGATCCGGCCGCCTTGGCCTCCCAAAGTGCTGGGATTACAGGCGTGAGCCACCGGACCCGGCCAGGATTCCTTTTAAATGATATCACTTCTTCCTTATCCCCTTAGGGTTAATCAGTCACCCTAAGTAACTGACAGTACAACTGTGAAAGGTCCAACTGGGGAGCCTCATTTTTGGAGAGAGCAGAACCCCAAGAAGTAGAGAGGGTGCTAGCAGCCTTTGAGAGAAGAAAGCAGGCTAAATCATAGGGGTCCAGTTTCAGTTCAGCAAAGGATGCTGAAATCTGAATAAACTCATGGATTGTATCAATGTCAATATCCTGGTTGTAATATGCTACCCCTGGAGGAAACTGAGCAAAGAGTACAGGGGCTCGCTCTGTATTATTTCTTTTAACTAAATGTTAATGTACAATTATTTAAATAAATATTTCAATTTAAGAAAAAGAAATGATACTGGAGTTTAGTAGTAGAAATACTCATAGGGGCCCACAGCAATGACTCGGGGTGTCAAAAAGTTTTAGGTTGGAGTCCTTTCTCCCTTACACACTGTGTAGTTCAAGATCTCTATATGGCCTCGGAAAGTACTTAAACTTAATGAGCTTTTAAGAATTTTCTCTTTTGGCCTGGCATGGTGGAAGAGGAAGTGCAGTGTAATCACAGCACTTTGGGAGGCCATGGCAGGCAGATAGATCGCTTGAGCCCAGAGTTGGAAACCAGCCTGGGCAACACGGCAAAATCTCATCTCTACTAAAAAAAAAATTAGCCTGCTGTGATGGCACACACCTGTAGTCCCAGCTACTCTCACCTAAGCCTGGGAAAGCGAGGCTGCAGTGAGCGGTGATTCTACCACTGCCCCTGTCTCAAAAAAAAAAAATCCTCTTTTGTCAAAATAAGATTTGTAATACCTATATCATAGGTTTTAATTTTGTATAACTGACAATTTCCATATGGCTCGATCTAATAATACTATAACACAGATATCCAGCCAACTAAAGTTCCTTCTTTCTGTTCAGGACAGTGATTAACTTGTAACTGTCTCAGGACCAACAGTAGCATTGCTTTCCCTGGGTGCTATTTTTCTTTTTTTTTTTTTTTTTTGAGATGGAGTTTCACTCATGTTACCCAGGCTGGAGTGCAATGGCGCAATCTCGGCTCACCGCAACCTCCACCTCCTGGGTTCAGGCAATTCTTCTGCCTCAGCCTCCTGAGTAGCTGGGATTACAGGCACGCGCCACCATGCCCAGCTAATGTTTTGTATTTTTTTTTAGTAGAGACGGGGTTTCACCATGTTGACCAGGATGGTCTTGATCTCTTGACCTCGTGATCCACCCACCTCGGCCTCCCAAAGTGCTGGGATTACAGGCTTGAGCCACCGCGCCCGGCCGCTATTTTTCTTTAGATTAAGGATATGAATGTGTTCGGAGCTCGTTTGTTTTTATTTGGCTGCGCTCAGTGGCACACATCTGTAATCCCAGCACTTTGGAAGGCCGAGGTGTGCGGATCACCTGAGGTCAGGAGTTAGAGACCAGCCTGGCCAACACAGTGAAACCCCGTCTCTACTAAAAGCACAAAAATTGGCCAGACATGGTGCTGCATGCCTGTAATCCCAGCTACTCAGAAGGCTGAGATAGGAGAATCACTTGAACCCTGGAGGCAGAGGTTGCAATGTGCCAATATCACACCATTGCACCCTAGTCTGGGTGACAGAGCAAGATTCCATCTCAAAAACAAAACAACAACAAAAAACTCCAAAATGTTTAATTTCTTTTTTCTCCTTTATTATTATTTTTAAAATCTTATAACACAAGGAGTAAATTTTTTAATCCCCAGAGTTTGAAGCAAATAATCCTTCTATTTGTGATAGGCTATTTTCTATTGATGCTGTTGAAATTCCTAATATTAACTATAATAAGAGAATGTTTCTCCCTTCTTACAGGCAATAGTTTGGGATGAATACCTAACTGGACCCTTTGGCCTGATTGCGCAGTATTCGCTATTGAAGGTAAATGAGCTATTTGGGTTTTGTTAGGGGAATAATAATTCTGTACTTCAGCAGTTATGATAGGATTTTATATTTCTTCCTTAATCATTGCTTTGCAAAGCTGTTTGGTCTTTATAAACACTGATACTAGTGCCCGATTAACATGTTACATTCATTGGCCAGTGGTTCTGTACTGATCCTAGCATTATATTATGTGACCATTACCTGATGTTTTTGAGAGTTCATTATGTAAGAGTCATTTGGATGCTGCTGCAATAACAGTGGCTTTAGGGCCGGGCGTGGTGGCTCACACCTGTAATCCCAGCACTTTGGGAGGCCGAGGCAGGTGGATTGCTTAAGGTCAGGATTTCAAGACCAGCCTGGCCAATGTGATGAAACCCCATCTCCACTCAAAATACAAAAATTAGCTGGGTGTGGTGGTGGACACCTGTAATCCCAGCTACTCTGGAGGCTGAGGCAGGAGAATCACTGGAACCTGGGAGGTGGAGGTTGCAGTGAGCCTGCACTCCAGCCAGGGCAACCGAGTGAGACTCCCTCTCAAAAAAACAAAACAAACTAGTTTCTAAGGATTATGTCTGCGAGTCAGGATTCCTGATCCAGAGACAATGGCCCTGATGGGATGGAGCCCGAAGGCGTCATCGAGAGTAACTGGAATGAGATTGTTGACAGCTTTGATGACATGAACCTCTCAGAGTCCCTTCTCCATGGCATCTATGCGTATGGTTTTGAGAAGGCTTCTGCCAACCAGCAGCGAGCCATTCTACCTTGTATCAAGGGTTATGACGTGATCACTCAAGCCCAATCTGGGACTGGGAAAACAGCCACATTTGCCATATCGATTCTTTTTTTTTTTTTTTTTGAGACGGAGTCTCGGTCTTGTTACCCAGGCTGGAGTGCAATGGCGCAATCTCGGCTCACCGCAACCTTCGTCTCCTGGGTTCAGGCAATTCTCCTGCCTCAGCCTCCTGAGTAGCTGGGATTACAGGCACGTGCCACCAGGCCCAGCTAATTTTTTGTATTTTTAGTAGAGACGGGGTTTCACCATGTTGACCAGGATGGTCTCGATCTCTTGACCTCGTGATCCACCCGCCTCGGCCTCCCAAAGTGCTGGGATTACAGGCTTGAGCCACTGCGCCCAGCCTGCCATATCGATTCTGCAGCAGATTGAATTAGATCTAAAGGCCACCCAGGCCTTGGTCCTAGCACCCACTCGAGAATTGGCTCAGCAGATACAGAAGGTGGTCATGGCACTAGGAGACTACATGGGTGCCTCCTGTCACGCCTGTATTGGGGGCACCAATGTTTGTGCTGAGGTGCAGAAACTGCAGATGGAAGCTCCCCACATCATCGTGGGAACCCCTGGCCGTGTGTCCAATATGCTTAACCGGATATACCTGTCTCCCAAATACATCAAAATGTTTGTACTGGACGAAGCTGATGAAATGTTAAGCCGTGGATTCAAGGACCAGATCTATGACATATTCCAAAAGCTCAACAGCAATACCCAGGTAGCTTTGCTGTCAGCTACAATGCCTTCTGATGTGCTTGAGGTGACCAAGAAGTTCATGAGGGACCCATTCAGATTCTTGTCAAGAAGGAAGAGCTGACCTTGGAGGGTATCCACCAATTCTACATCAATGTGGAATGAGAGGAATGGAAGCTGGACACATGGTGTGACTTGTATGAAACCCTGACCATCACCCAGGCAGTCATCTTCATCAACACCCAAAGGAAGGTGGACTGGCTCACTGAGAAGATGCATGCTCGAGATTTCACTGTCTCTGCCATGCATGGAGATATGGACCAAAAGGAATGAGATGTGATCATGAGGGAGTTTCGATCTGGCTCTAGCAGAGTTTTGATTACCACAGACCTGCTGGCCAGAGGCATCGATGTGCAGCAGGTTTCTTTAGTCATCACCTGTGACCTTCCCACCAACAGGGAAAACTATATCCACAGAATTGGTTGAGGTAGACGGTTTGGCCGTAAGGGTGTGGCTGTTAACATGGTGACAGAAGAAGACAAATGGACTCTTTGAGACACAGAGACCTTCTACAACACCTCCATTGAGGAAATGCCCCTCAATGTTGCTGACCTCAACTGAGGGGCTGTCCTGCCACCTAGCCCCAGCCTGAGTTCAGTCTTCAGGGGCTGAGGAGTAGCAGGAGGGGGGAGGGAAGGGAGCCAAGGGATGGACATCTTGTCATTTTTTTTTTTTTTTGAGACGGAGTTTTGCTCTTGTTACCCAGGCTGGAGTGCAATGGTGCGATCTCGGCTCACCGCAACCTCCGCCTCCTGGGTTCAGGCAATTCTCCTGCCTCAGCCTCCTGAGTAGCTGGGACTACAGGCACGCGCCACCATGCCCAGCTAATTTTTTGTAGTTTTAGTAGAGACGGGGTTTCACCATGTTGACCAGGATGGTCTTGATCTCTTGACCTCGTGATCCACCCGCCTCGGCCTCCCAAAGTGCTGGGATTACAGGCTTGAGCCACCGCGCCCGGCCCATTTTGTCATTTTTTTTCTTTGAATAAATGTCACTTTTTGAGGCAAAAGAAGGAAAAAAAATAACAGTGGCTTTATACTGAAACTTTGTTCTTTATATATTTGGCTTTGAGGGAATCTAAATTTCAATATTAAAATATTAATGTACACTTGACTGAGAGTGTTTATGATTTCTGAGTCTGAAAATGATAGGTAAATTTCAGACTTTTTGTTAACCTTTTGTGTATGTGTTTGCCTAGGAACATGAAGTGGAAAAAATGTTCACACTTAAAGGAAGTCGTTTGCCGGCAGCTGATGTCAAGAATGTTATTTTTTTTGTCAGACCCAGGCTAGAGTTGATGGATATAATTGCTGAAAACGTGCTCAGGTATCTCAGAGTTTGTGTTTGATCTAAAAGAATTTGGTCCCTATCATGTTTTTAATGTATGAGCTCCTTCTTATGGAAGACCCTCACTCTTGCCAGTGCAAGGCGGTCTTTTGGAAAACTGAGATAGGCATGGAAGAATATAAAAGAGAAGATGAGGGCTGGGGGAAGGTGGAGATGGTTAATGGGTACAAAAAAAATAGAATGAATCAGACCTACTATTTGACAGCACAACAGGAGGACTATAGTTAATAGTAACTTAATAGGTTTTTTTTTGTATTTTTAGTAGAGACAGGGTTTCACCATGTTGGTCAGGCTGGTCTTGAACTCCTGACCTCATGATCCACCCTCCTCGGCCTCCCAAAGTGCTGGGATTACAGGCGTAAGCCTTTTTTTTTTTTTTGAGATGGAGTTTTGCTCTTGTTTCCCATGTTAGAGTGCAATGGCTCGATCTCAGTTCACTGCAACCTCCATCCCCCCACCCCCGGGTTCAAGCCATTCTCCTGCCTCAGCCTCCTGAGTAGCTGGGATTACAGGTGTGCACTACCATGCGTGGCTAATTTTTTGCATTTTTAGTAGAAATGGGGTTTCACCATGTTAGCCAGGCTGGTCTCGAACACCTGACCTCAGGTGATCTGCCCACCTTGGCCTCCCAAAATGCTGAGATTACAAGTATGAGACATCAGCCCTGGCCTTAATTGCATAGTTTTAAACATAAAGAGTGAGGCTGGGCATGGTGGCTCACACCTGTAATCCCAGCATTTTGGGAGGCCAAGGTGGGTGGATCACTTGAGGTCAGGAGTTCGAGACCAGCCTGGCCAAAGTAGTGAAACCCTATCTGTACTAAAAATACAAAAATTAGCCGGGTGTGGTGTCACGTGCCTGTAATCCCAGCTACTTGTGAGGCTGAGGCACAAGAATCTTTTGAACCTGAGAGGCCGAGGTTGCAGTGAGCCAAGATCCTGCTACTGCACTCCAGCCTGGGCGACAGAGAGAGACTCCATCTCAAAAAAAAAAAAAAGTGTAATTGGATTGTTTGTAACTCAGTAAGTGCTTGAGAGGATGTGCCCCCCCGCATTCTCCATGATGCGCTTATTTCACGTTGCCTGCCTATATCATAACATCTCATAGGCTGGGCGTGGTGGCTCAAGCCTGTAATCCCAGCACTTTGGGAGGCCAAGGTGGGCGGATCACCTGAGATCAGGAGTTTGAGACCAGCCTGGCCAACATGGTGAAACCCCATCTTAATAAAAAAAAAAAAAAAAAATCTCATGGACCCCATAAATGTATACACCTGCTATGTAACCCCCCAAAATTAAATATGTAAAAGAGAGGCTGGGAAACTGGGGAAGTCGTTCTCAGCAGTTTGAGAGAAGGATCGTCTTCTAACCCCATTCTTTAAGGATAGCCAGAAGTTTAAACATGTGTCAGTAAAAACGACCCTGTTTTAAAAAAATAAGCCTCCAGCAGTTATTTTTAAATATACTGCATGTACTTGAATTTCATAAGCAAAAAAAAAGAGCTGATTAAAATTTAATACAGCATCCAGTGTATAGAGGAAGTGCTCCCAGCCCAGTCTGCACTCTGTGGTACAATCGATTGATGCAGCCCCTAAAATCTTAAAAGCATAAGGGCTATTTTTGGAAGTCCACTGTCAATGAGAGTAGGGGTGGGAGTCAAGAGTGATCTTTCATTTTAATTTAAGACTCTTTGTGGCTGAAGACTCTTTTGGTTGAAGAACCATTTGTTCTTAGTGAGGCACAAATACCTATTTCGGTAACCTTCAGAGCTTTAATGCCCTGTAGATAGTTGAAGAGAATACTAAAAAAGTACTAGCCAAAACTCAATGCTGCTTTTCTGTCGGGGAAGAAAGAGAGAGTGGGTGCGGCTGTAACAATTTGGGCCTGAGAGTCAGCTTTTGGTTATTTTTTTGAGACACAGGCTAACTCTGTTGCTCAGGGTGGAGTACAGTGGTGGGATCTCTGCTCACTGCAACCTCTGCCTCGTGTGTTCAAGTGATTCCCCTGCCTTAGCCTCCCGAGTAGCTGGGATTGCAGGCACACACACAACACCACACCCGGCTAATTTTTGTACATTTTATTTATTTATTTATCTTTGAGATGGAGTCTTGATCTCTTGCCCAGGCTGGAGTGCAGTGGCACGGTCTCAGCTCACCACAACCTCCACCTCCCAGATTCAAGCAATTCTCCTGCCTCAACCTCCCGAGTAGCTGAGATTACAGGTGCCCGCAACCACACCCGCCTACTTTTTTGCATTTTTTAGTAGAGATGGGATTTTACCACATTTGGCCAGACTGGTCTCGAACTCCTGACCTCAAGTGATCTGCCCACCTTGTTCTCCCAAAGTGCTGGGATTACAGGTGTGAGCCACTGCGCCCAACCTGAGAGTCATTATTTATATGATTTATCTAGCCAGCTTTATAGTGCCTAGTATGTGCCAGGCAGTAAGGATAAACAAAGCAAAATGGTCCATGACTCTTAGGAGCTCATAAGCTAACCAATGTTGCTTCCTTTGCAGTGAAGATAGACGAGGCCCAGCGAGAGATTTCCACATTCTGTTTGTGCCACGCCGTAGCCTATTGTGCGAACAGCGGTTGAAGGATCTGGGTGTCTTGGGATCCTTTATTCATAGGGAGGAGTACAGCTTAGATCTCATTCCATTCGATGGGGATCTCTTATCCATGGAGTCAGAATGTGCATTCAAAGTAAGTTTGACATTTCCTTAGCATCAGGCATTAGTTTTTGCCCAGTTTATGAGTGTGAAAGTATCACAGTATTGTTTTAATTTGTAATTACTGTTCCATTTTATATGTTTATTGATGTTTAAGATTTTCTCTTCAGCAAATTGTTCATTTTCTTTGCCCTTTTTTTCTTTTTGGGTCATTCTTTGTATATTCTGGATGTTGATCATTATGGGTTATAAAAGCTGCAAGTATCTTCCCAGTCGGACTTGTCTTTTATCTTTGTTTATAGTGTCTTTTATCATGTAGACATTTCCCATTAAAAGTAGTTAAATTTTTAAATAATAGCTTTATTATAACTCACAGTACTGGCTGGGCGCATTGGCTCACGCCTATAATCCCAGCACTTTAGGAGGCTGAGGCGAGTGGATCACCTGAGGTCAGGAGTTTGAGACCAGCCTGGGCCACATGGCGAAACCCCGTCTCTACTAAAAATACAAAGATTAGCCGGGTATAGTGGTGGGTGCTTATAATCCCAGCCACTCAGGAGGCTGAGGCAGGAGAATCACTTGAACCCAGGAGGCAGAGGTTGCAGTGAGCCAAGATTGTGGCACTGCACTCCAGCTTGGGTGACAGAGGAAGACTATCTCAAAAAGGAAAAAAAAAAAAAAAAAAACTCACAATACCATGAAATTGTCTCCTTGATGGTGAGAATACATGGTTTTTAGTGTATTCACAAAGCTGTGCAGCTATCACCACGGTCTAAGTGTGGCATATTTTAACTACCCCAAAAAGAAGTCCATGCCCGGTAGTAGTCCATCCCTATCCTTCCTTCCCCCAGCCTCTGGCAGGTACTAGTCTAGTTCAGTCTGTATGAATTTGCCTATTCTGCAGTTTCCTTTTTCTTTTTTTTGAAACAGAGTCTCACTCTTTTGCCCAGGCTGGAGTGCAGTGATGTGATCATACCTCACTGCAGCCTTGACCTCTAGGCTTGAGCGATCCACTAGCCTCAGCCTTTTGATTAGCTGAAACTACAGGCATGTGCCACCACACCTGGCTAATTTTTTTTAAATTTCTTTTATTTCAATTTTTATTTTTTGGAGAGACAGCATCTCACTCTGTTACCCAGGCTGGTTTTGAACTTATTCTGGAGATTTATTGGAAATGAAATCATAGAATACGTATGTGGTCCTTCGTGTGTGGCATCTTCACTTCGTGTCATGTTTTCAGGGTTCATCCAGGTTGTAGCCTGTGTCAGGGCGTCATTCCTTTTTGTTGCTGAATAGCATTGCATTGTCATGATATCATTCATCAGTTGATGGACACCTGATGGGTTGTTTCCACTGTTTGGCTGTCATGATATTTTTGAGAAAAGTTTTTTTGTAGACGTATATTTTCATTTATTGTGGCTATACCTAGGAGTAGAATTGCTGACTCATATGGCAACTCTACATTGAACATTTTGAGGAGCTGCCAAACTCCTGCGCTGAAGCTGTACCGTGTGTACTGCCAGCAGCAGCGTGTGAGGGGTCCAGTGGCACATCCACATGAACACCCTTGTTGTTCTGTCTTTTTTTGGATTATCACTTTGTCACCCAGCCTGGAGTGCAGTGGCGCAATCTCAGTCTCGGCGCACTGCAGACTGCCTCCCGGGCTCCAGTGGTTCTCCCACCTCAGCCTCCTGCGTAGCTGGGATTACAGGCACACGCCACCAAGCCTGGCTAGTGTTTGTATTTTTAGTAGAGATCGGGTTTCGCCACGTTGGTCCAGCTGGTCTCGAACTCCTGACCTCAGGTGATCCACCTGCCTCAGCCTCCCAAAGCGCTGGGATTACAGCCATGAGCCAGTACACCCAGTCTTCCCAGGTGGTTTTGTGTGTATTTTGGAGGTCCTTTTTTCAATGCAAAAATATATATATTTTATGAACTGAGATTATATTCCAGGTTGTTCAACTTGTTCTTTTCATTTCTCAAGAGATTGTGGCTTTCGCTTGTCACTTGTCGTGAAAATCTGCCTTATCCTTTGTAACAACAATGCAGTATCTGTCCTGTGGCCTTTTGCATTTCTGGGCATTAGCATGTGGCTCTCCCAGCATGTCCTGCCAGAGTTTAAACTCACCAGTGAATAGGACCCCCATGTCTCAGTGTAATTCTGTGTTCTACAGTCTTTTATTCAAGAGCTGATTCAGAAGAGCTGGCATGCCGGGTGAACAGTTTTCTTCCAGAAGCCGCAGCTCTGCCCAGGAAAGGTGCTTCCACGGCTGTACCCACCCTTGGGGCTGCCAGCCTTAGGGCCTAGACTGGCAGGCAGCAATTTGGAAAATGAACTTGAGTCCCCAGCTTTCCTGGCACAGGGTGAAATAACCGGAAATGATTTTATTATCTGTTGCTGTACCCCAGCCCCAGGAACAGAGAGGGGCCCCTAGGAGGCCCCTGTGGCCTGGCAGTAATTGGCATTTCCCCTCACAGGAGTGCTACCTGGAGGGCGACCAGACGAGCCTGTACCACGCAGCCAAGGGGCTGATGACCCTCCAAGCTCTGTACGGAACGATCCCCCAGATCTTCGGGAAAGGAGAATGCGCTCGGGTGAGATCTGGCTGCTTTCTGGTGGCAAAGGAGGGGCCCTTCACACCCCAAAAGGGAGCAGGAACGGGAATCTCCTTACACACAAATTCAGTTGATCCTAATTATTTATGAATACTCGTGAATTTGCCTCCCCATTAAAATGCACTTATAACCCTCCACGTCAGTATTCCGGGTGCTTTATGAGTGGGCACAGTGGTGAGTTTGAGTAACCAACTGCGCATGTTCCCATCTGAGGCTGGGTGACACTCCACTTTCCCATTTCAGCTCTCAGACTGCCAGCAAGTGTCCTTTTCACAGCCTCACTGTCATGTTTTTCACACATTTGTACATTTTTTGGTGATTTCACTGTTTAAAATGGCCCCCAGTCGTAGGGCTGAGGTGCAGTCTGGTGTCCTGAGCACAAGAAGGCTGTGATGTGCCTGGCAGAGACATTACATGTGTCAGAGACGCTTTGTTCAGGCACAAGCCACAGAGCTGGGACTGTGAGTTCAAGGTGAATCATAACAATGATGTTAAGTCAGGCACCTTTAAGCAGAAACACATAGAAAACTGGGTTCTGTGTTGATCATTTGACAAAAACGTTGAGACCAGAGGCTCACAGGAACCTAACTCTGCATTTCCCCCAGGAACTGTGGTCCCATCTTCGCTAATTTAGTGTTTACAGTGACTTCATAGAACATAACTACTGCAAATCCCAAGAACAGACTGACCTGATTTTATGCCTCATTGGCAAATGGCAGCTCCCTTGGCGCCAGTGTCGGGATGGGTGCCAGCTTTTCTAGAGCTGCTTATTTCTTAGCAGTGCACTCTTCCACAGTTTTCTCCATTTTTACTTTTTTGATTGTCTTTCTGGTTTTGGACGAATTTTATAATCTGCTGGCTCCCAGGAGGCCCCACCTCATCCAATGTTTTGTTTCCAGCAAGTGGCCAATATGATGATCAGGATGAAGAGAGAGTTTACAGGAAGCCAGAATTCAATATTTCCTGTTTTTGATAATCTCTTGTTGCTTGATCGGAATGTGGATTTATTAACGCCCCTTGCCACTCAGCTGACATATGAAGGACTCATTGATGAAATTTATGGCATTCAGAACAGTAAGTACGTGATGTCTGTTTCCACTAATAGGTAATATGAGAAGAATATCTTTTGTGGAGGCTACTGTGTATATTGGACACTTAAGCGTATTTGAAGTCAGAGATCCAATTTTAATGATGATTTCAAAGTGTATGTAGATTAATACAGACCTTATTGTAAACCATTTGGCAACATATAAAACTTTTCTAACCCTTGGCTCAAGAAAACCCAAAGCCTAAGAACATCCTTTGAGGAATCATCCCAAAAAAGGGGATCAGTGAGATTTGCATAAAAATTTCAATTTCCAGACTGGGCGTGGTGGCACACGCCTGTAATCCCAGCACTTTGGGAGGCCAAGGTAGGCAGATCATGAGGTTGGGAGTTTGAGACCAGCTGGTCAACATAGCGAAACCCCGTCTTTATGAAAAATAATAAAAATTAGCCAGGCATGGTGGCGTGTACCTGTAGTCCCAGTTACTTGGGAGGCTGAGGCAGGAGAATCGCTTGAACCCTGGAGGCGGAGGTTGTGGTGAGCCGAGATGGCACCACTGCACTCCAGCCTGGGCAACAGAGTGAGACTCCACCTCAAAAAAAAAAAAATTTTCAATTTCCATTTCTTACCAGAATTTCCCAAACAATCTCAGTGGTGGAGTACGTTATTAAATATTATGGAACCAGCAGGGCATGGTGGCTTACACCTGTAATCCCAGCACTTTGGGTGGCCAAGGCAGGTGGATTACTTGAGGTCAGTAATTTGAGACCAGCCTGGCCAACATGGTGAGACCCGTCGCTACTAAAAATACAAAAAATTAGCTGGGCATGGTGGTGTGTGCCTGTAATCCCAGCTACTTGGGAGGCTGAGGTGGGAGAATTGCTTGAACCTGGAGGCAGAGGTTGCAATAAGCCGAGATAGCACCACTGTCCTACAGCCTGGGCGACAGAGCGACACTTTGTCTCAAAAAACAGCAAATTATGGAAACATCAAAATAATAATTGTAGAACATAAAAAGCTGCATAGTCATGCTTATTTCAATTAGAAATTATTATATGTTTGTATGTGTATGTATTTGTGTTCCAAACTATATTTATAATACATAAAAAAATAACTGAGAATATCATAAGAAAGGGAAATAACTGGAGGCGGACTAATCAGATCATGCCTCCAAAGGGTCGGTTTCCAGAAAGCTGATTGCTTTACCTTGAAACAACAAAAGTACTGACTTTGACTTTCAGACACTGGGATTCAGTGACCTCTGAGCAAACTGCGGTTGTCAGTGACACAAGAGTTGGCAGCAGTTTAGTGCCCAGGCCTGTCTTTGTCCCTTGTGAGCCGAGGCAACGGGTCTCCCACAGAGGGCACTGGCGTATGGGATGCACACATCCGTGCGGCCGGCAGTAGCTGAGGAAGGCTGTGGGAGCAGAGGCGTTTGTGCTGGGTTTGGAAGGAAGCAGAGAGTTCAGACGGGGGTCCTGGGGCGGGGGCAGGCGGCGTCACACAAAAAGTCAGGATGAGCCAAGCAGCGTGCTTGAGCGGAGCGCACGACTGGGGAAATATTGTAGAGAAACGGCTGGTATAGAAGGTTGAGGCCACTCGATGGAAGACTTGGGTGGCTGGCCAGAGCTTGGGCTTGGTGGGTTGTTTGGTGAGAGTCACAAGCATTTTGGTTTGGTTGGTCTTGGCCCACATGATACTTTCTGTCAGCTTTAATGTGTTACATTTTAAGTAATAATCCTGAATTTTGCCATAACTTGAAAAATACTGGAAGCACTGGCAAGAGGCCATGCTCCCACTGGGTGGGTGGCTGAGACCCAGTATCCAGAGCTCCCTGCCTCACCGCAGACCCCACACCTGTCTCAGCCTGCCTTCTTCCCTCATCTGCATAGTCCCCGGCCTCTATTGCCATCCTGAATGAAGTCACAGGAGTCCAAGGAAAGGCCCAAGGGGAGGCATGTGTAAGGAAGATGGGGCTGGCCACGGTGGCTCACGCCTGTAACCCTAGCACTTTGGGAGGCCAAGGCAGGCAGATCACTTGAGGTCAGGAGTTTGAGGCAGACACACACACACACACAGACACGTAGCTGGATTTCATGGCACATACCTGGAGTACCAGCTACTCAGGAGGGTGAAGCATGAGAATCACTTGAACTCAGGAGGCAGAAGTTACAGTGAGCCAAGATCATGCCACTACACTCCAGCCTGGGCGACAGAGTGAGACTCTGTCTCAAAAAAAAAAAAAAAAAAAAAAAAAAAAAAAAAAAAACAAGGTGAAAAATTGAAAAAATATTTAAAAAAAAGATAGGCCTAAAATTCAGAGGGAAAACAGACCCATGGTTGCCAGGACTGCAGGAAGGAGATGGGGAGTGACTACTTACTGGCTATAGGGCTTCCCTTTGGGTTAAAAAAACTCTGGAACTAGAGACTGGCTGTGGTCCTACCATGTTGTATATGTACTAAATGCTACTGGATCATTCATTGTAAAACAAAGTGGTAATTTTTGTATAATGTGCAATTTACCACAAGAATGAAGGAATGCATGACCTGGGTGAGGGAATGGAGAGAGAGACATGAACAGGTGTTTCTACACACGCCTCCTTAAGGTCTTTTATAAGATTGTAAAAAAGTCTTATTATTATTGCTATTTGTCAAAAAAATGGCTACTACTCTACTACTTTGTAAAACTCTATTTATTGACAGAGGAATTCATTTCAGGAGAGCCCTCTGCTGGGTCGTGGGTGGAAATGAGAGAAATGGGGTGGTCCCAGAGTGTGTGCCACCCAGGAAGGCATGAAAGGAGTGCTCAGCAGTTGGGGATGGGGAATGGCGCAGGGGAAAGGGGACTGGGAGTTGGCCCAGGAGACAGCTGTGTAGGACAGGTGAGAGGTAGGTCGGAGGGAGTTTTCTAAGACAGTGTGTTTAAATTCCCAGCCTCCTTGTAGCAAGTTTTTTTGTAATATAAGTCAAACATTGATTAAGAAAAAAGTTGGAAAAATAGAAGAAAACATAGATCCCTTATTATCTTCCAACCCTACCCTATGGACCTATGGCCTCAAACCTTGGGAAAACCACTGTTAATTCTGTGGCGTATTTCCTTACCGTCTTTTTTTCCCCTTGTGTAGTTTATTTTAATGAATGAAAAATGGAATCAGGTTGTACAAATAGTTTCAAACCTGAGTTTTGATTTGGTAAGCTAATGAGCATTTTCCTAGTATATGCATTCATTAAAATCCACAATATAGATTGGGCACAATGGCTCACGCTTGTAATCCCAGCACTTTGGGAGGCCAAGGCAGGCAGTTCAGCGGAGGTCAGGAGTTCGAGACCACCCTGACCAACATGGTGAAACCCTGCCTCTACTAAATACAAACAAAAATTAGCTGGGTGTGGTGGTGCGCATCTGTAATCTCAGCTACTTAGGAGACTGAGGCAGGAGAATTGCTTGAACCCAGGAGGCAGAGGTTGCAGTGAGCTGAGATCATGCCATTGCACTCCAGCCTGGGCAACAAGAGTGAAACTCCTCCATCTCACCAAAAAAAAAAAAAAAATCCACAGTACATTTAAACCCTAGTTGACAGAGTCATTCCTCTAATGTTGGGCATTTTAGGTTTTTTCCTGTGTGTGTCATTATAAAAACATCTATATACATAAGTGGAGTTTTTATTTTTTGTTTATTTGTTTTTAATAGAGACGGCTTTCACCATGTCGTCCAGACTGGTCTTGAACTCTTGAACTCAAGCAGTTTACCCTCCTCAGCCTCCCAAATTGCTGGGATTACAGGTGTGAGCCACCGTGCCCAGCCAATGTTGTTGTTTTTGAGACAGGATCTCATTCTGCCGCCCAGGCTAGAGAACAGTGGCGTGATCATATCCCACTATTGCCTTGACCTTTTTGGCTCAAGCAGTCCTTCCACCTTGGCCTCCCAAGCAGCTGGGACTGTAGGAATGCTCCACCAGGCCCAGCTAACTTTTCAAGTTTTTATAGAGACAGGGTCTCCCTATGTTTCCCCAGCTGGTCTTGAACTAGGTTCAAGAGATCCTCCCAGGCCAGGTGTGGTGGCTCAAACCTCTGATCGCAGAACTTTGGGAGGCTGAAGCAGATAGATCAGTTGAGGTCAGGAGTTTGAGACCACCCTGGCCAATATGGCAAAACCCGTTTCTACTAAAAATACAAAAATTAGCCAGACGTGGTGGTGTGCACCTACAATCCCAGCTACTCAGGAGGCTGAGGCAGAAGAACCGCTTGAACCTGGGAGGCCAAGGTTGCAGTGAGCCGAGATCACACCACTGCACTCCGGCCTGGGTGACAGAGCAAGACTCTGTCTCATTTAAAAAAAAAAAAAAAAAGTGGCTGGGTGTGGTGGCTCATGCCTGTAATCCCAGCACTTTGGTAGCCTGAGGTGGGCGGATCACCTGAGGTTCGGAGTTCAAGACCAGCCTGGCCAACATGGTGAAACCCTGTCACTACTAAAAATATAAAAATTAGCCAGGCAAGGTGACAGAGCAAGACTTCGTCTCAAATAAATAAAATAAAATAAAATATAAAGAGATCCTCCCACTTTAGCCTCTCAAAGTGCTGGGGTTAGAGGCGTGAGCCACCATGCCCAGCCTACGTAAGATTTTTTTTATATATCAGATGATTTTCTTTCCCTGGATTCCCTGATGCAGGATTTTGGGGTGAAAGGCACTTGGTATGTGTTGCCAAATTGCTTTACTGCAGAGTTACATCAGCTCCATGCCATCAGCAGTTCATGAGCACATGTGGGGTGTTCCAGGGAAATAAAGACTCACTTGGCTTGGCAGGAGCAGAGTGGAGAGAAGGAGATTAAGGTTACTTCGCAGAGGAAGTGGATACCATGCTATTCTGGAGAAATATGTGAGAAATATATTTTATATCATGAGATAGAGTGAGAATCAGTGAGTAATATATTTTACATCGTGACCCAGTACATATATACATGTATATGTATGTGCATGTGAAACTGAAACAAAAGCTTTATTTAAAAAAAAACCTGAAGCCACCACTAGCTTCTCTAATGTCATGTGATCAGCTTTTGTATTTTCTGCTCTGTGCTATTTTGGGTACTGTTGTTTTCTTTTTGTTTTTAAGATGCTACTTGCAACCCACCAGCTTAATTTCATGATCCACTAATGGAACATGATCCACAATTTGAAAAAACGGAAAGAGACACTAGGGAGATCCTTGTAAGCTTTCAGAGTGGAAAAGTGACCTACTCTCTGAATAAGTTCAGGAAGTGGACATTGCTGCATGTGGTTTACATAAATGCGTCAAAGATAATTAGAACTGTGGTGTCAATATTTGAGTCACTACTTCCTGTACTTTGATCATGGAAAATCGAAAGCTCAGAGCTTTGTGTCGGTTGCCCTTACATTGTCTCCTGAGCTGGAAACTGTTTTGTGCTTGGGCGCGTGGTTGGTTCTTCCAGTCATTGCACACAGGTGCTTATTCCCTTCCATTGCCGTTCAGGTTATGTGAAATTACCTCCAGAGAAATTTGCACCTAAGAAACAGGGCGATGGTGGTAAGGACCTCCCCACAGAAGCAAAGAAGCTGCAGCTGAATTCTGCAGAGGAGCTCTATGCTGAGATCCGAGATAAGAACTTCAATGCGGTGGGCTCTGTGCTCAGCAAGAAAGCAAAGATCATCTCTGCAGCATTCGAGGTGAGGCAAGTTTGGGGTGTCATTCTGAAACTCTAGGTCTCAGGTAGATGCCCATCCCAGAGGGGAATGAATAAAAGCTCCAAAAATATGGAGCCATTAAGCCGGGCTTTGGTGCAACTTCACTCATCTTCAGTGACTACAAATTCCGTATTGGAAGATCCAAGGTTTTCTTTCATTTTAAACTTTCTCACACCCATGTGGTGTAAAGCTCTTTTTGCGTGGGGGGTAGGTGGAGGCACAAGTGTTCGCAGTTTACAGACTTCCATCATCAACATTTGCTTTATCATCTTTGAAATTCTTTCCTACCTCGCTTGAAAGGAAGCCATCAGTACTATAAATAACAGTTCCTCTCTAATAGAACTTGTGGTTCATGCTGCAAACTCAAGTTTAGCCAGTGTGACTGTGGCAGGGGACCCCAGCACGTGTGGTGAGTGATAATGAGACTGAAATCCCCAGCAACCCAGGGCTTTTAAATTGGCTTAATTATCACCTTTCTGCCTCCTCTTGCCGATTCACTAGTTTATTTTTGCCCAGGCTCCTTTGTGAAACATGGGAATTCAACAAGATGGTAAACTCTGAATATTTAGACTTTAGAAACATAAATTGGAAGTTTTTGAGAATGAATTTTTCATTGAGTATGTAGTTCCAGATTTTTTTTTTGAGACAGGGTCTCACTCTGTCACCCAGGATGGAGGCAGTGGTACAGTCACAGCCTACTACAGCTGCTACCTCCCAGGCTCAAGCAATCCTCCCACCTCAGCCTCCCGAGTAGCTGGGACCATAGGAACATGCCATCATGCCCGGCTAAATTTTTTGGTTTTTGGTTTTTTTTTTTGTAGAGACGGGGTCTCCCTGTGTTTTCCAGGCTGGCTTGGAACTCGGTGGTGTAATTCCAGATTTTATCTTTCTTAGGAATTATATTCATTAATCGATTTTCATATTTCTGAAGTTACTTTTGGTTTAAGTTATTAAATTTTGCCAAAAAATGTCATCACCAAGCTGGTTTGCTTTGTTCGTAGGCCATACTCAAGACTAAGGTTCAGGCCGGGCGCGGTGGCTCCCGCCTGTCATCCCAGCACTTTCAGAGGCTGAGGCAGGAGGATCGCTTGAGCCCAGAAGTTCTGGACCAGCCTGGGCAACACAGCAAGACACCATCTCTACAAAACAACTTCTTCTTCTTCTTTTTTTTTTTTTTTTAACTAGCTGGACACGGTGGCATATGCCTGTAATCCCAGCGACTCGGGAGGCTGAGGTGGGAGCCTGAGGTGGGAGCCTAGGAGTTGGAGGCTGCAGTGAGCTGTGAGGGTGCCATTGCACTCCAGCCTCGCCGACAGAGAGAGACCCTGTCTCAAAACCAAAGACAAGACTGAGGTTCAACAGAAAAAACGGTGTTGTTTTTTTTCTATTACACAGGAAACTTTTCCTCTTTATAGTACCCTCTAATCATTTTTTGTCTTGGTTTTTTACTCAGAGATTTGTATGATTTATGTAATACCGTCTTTCACCAGTACCCAGATGCCCACAAAATACTGACACAGTGTGTGAGCTGGTACACTGGAAGAGAGACGCTGAGGCATCTGCTTCTCTAAAGAAGTGCTAATTTGGGAGACAGGCACCATGAGCTCTATATTTCAGTGACATGTACATTTCTGTTTTTCTTTATAATGTTGGAGCTGTGTTTGGCCTGATTTATTTGTTGTCCATTCTGCCTTTCATATTAATATAAATGAAACATCCTCTAACAATACAAAAAACAGAGCACTTAAAATATCAGCCAGGCGTGGTGGCTCACACCTGTAATCCTAACACTTTGGGAGGCCAAGGTGGGTGGATCGCTTGAGGTCAGGAGTTTGAGACCAGCCTGATCAATACAGTAAAACCCCATCTTTACTAAAAGTACAACAATTAGCTGGGCGTGGTGGCAGGCACCTGTAATCCCAGCTACTCAGGAGGCTGAGGCAGGAGAATCACTTGAATCCTGGAGGGAGAGGTTCCAGTGAGCCAAGATAGCACCACTGCACTCCAGCCTGGGTGACAGAGCAAGACTCCCTTTCAAAAACATAAATAAAATAAATAAATGCATAAATAAACTATCTTCCCTGCCTGAGGCACTGCTGTCTTATTTCTTTCAGGAAAGACACAACGCGAAGACTGTGGGGGAGATCAAGCAGTTTGTTTCCCAGTTGCCACACATGCAGGCAGCAAGGGGCTCGCTGGCAAACCATACCTCAATTGCAGAATTGATCAAAGACGTCACTAGTGAGTATCCTTTGTAATGGTGGTTTCCATCTGGGGATACTAGCACACACAGCGTTTTATACCTAGGTCATCAACACCACGATGCCTCCTTGGGAGAGTCAGCTCTGTCTTAATACCATGTGTTATTCCCTGTGTTAACTAAGTATACGTATGTTAATAGTTAAGAATGTTCCAGGCTGGGCACGGTGGCTCACACCTGTAATCCCAGCACTTTGGGAGGCTGAGGTGGGCAGATCACCTGAGGTCAGGAGTTTGAGACCAGCCTGGCCAACATGGCAAAATCCTGTCTCTACTAAAAATACAAAAATTAGCCAGGCATGGTGATGCGTGTATATAGTCCCAGCTACCTGGGAGGCTGAGGCAGGAGAATCGCTTGAACCCCGGAGGCAGAGGTTGCAGTGAGCTGAGATCACACCACTGCACTCCAGCCTGGTCAACAGAGTGAGACTTCATCTCAAAAAAACAACAAACAAACAAAAAAAGAATGTTCCATTTGTTGGCTGGGCATGATGGCTCACGCCTGTAATCCCAGCATTTTGGGAGGCTAAGGTGGGCAGATCACTTGAGTCCAGGATTTCAAGACCAGCCTGGGCAACATGGTGAAACCGCATCTCTACCAAAAATACAAAAATTAGCTGGGCATGGTGGCACATGCCTGTAGTCTCAGCTACTCAGGAGTCTGAGACATGAGAATCACTTGAACCCTGGAGGTGGAGGTTGCAGTGAGCTGAGATTACATCACTGCACTCCAGCCTGGGTGAGCAAGACTCCATTTCAAAAAAAAAAAAAAATGTTCCATTTGTTAACTCAATTTTTTTCATTATCATTTATATGAAAAATATTTGGAATGTAGATAAGAGAAAAAATGTTAAGTTTGACATCATAATTTGAGATGGTTAATTTTTTTAATATAGCTTTTTTCCTTTTACTTTTTTATTTTGAGACAGTTTCACTCTTGTTGCCCAGGCTGGAGTGCAGTGGTGCGATCTCAGCTCACCGCAACCTCCGCCTCCTGGGTTCAAGCGATTCTCCTGCCTCAGCCTCCCAAGTAGCTGGGATTACAGGCATGTGCCACCATGCCCAGCTAATTTTGTATTTTTGGTCGAGATGGGGTTTCACCTTGTTGGTCAGGTTGATCTTGAATTCCCGACCCCAGGTGATCCGCCTGCCTCAGCCTCCCAAAGTGCTGGGATTACAGGCGTGAAACACTGCGCCTGGCTGCTTTTTTTCTTTTTGAAGTATTACTTAATTGGCCCAGGGTGATTTTTTGTTGTTGTTGCTGTTGTTCTTTCCTTGAATACTCTATGCAGAATTGGTACAGAGAGTATATGTCGAGTATTTTGAAAGAGCTCAGAAGATGTCTATTAAAGCAGACATGAGTTTGCTCATTACAACACAGGGCTGTAAAAGCTGAGTAGGAGATTGTTTCATGAAGTATACTTCAAATCTTAACTAAAACACAGTGTTGGAAAATCAGTCCTTTGTTTTTCTGTTAGTAGAAGTGGAAACCAGTTGAAATTGGGTTGAACCTAATGATGAAAATGAAATGCTCTTGAGGAATTAGCTTTTATTGATACTGACGCTCATTCTGGGGTCTGTACTGAAATCCTAAGGATACCAAGGAAGGCCATTGTCAACTCTATCTCAATGTAACTTAGGAGCACAGAGGCCTAGGGTTTTTCATGTTTCCTAGAAGATTTTCTTCAGATGATGACTTGAACTTATTGCTTGCTTGCTTTTTTTGCATGATGTCTGGTTCTTTTCTTTCTTTCTTTTTTTTTTTTTTTTTTTTAGTTTTTGGAGACAGTGTCTTGCTCTGTTGCCCAGGCTAGAATGCAGTGGCATGATCTTAGCTCACTGTAACCTCTGCCTCCCAGGTTCAAGTGGTTCTCGCCTCAGCCTCCCGAGTAGCTGGGACTACAGATGTGTGCCACCACAGCTGGCTAATTTTTATATTTTTGGTAGAGATGGGGTTTGGCTGGCTGGGCGCGGTGGCTCATGCCTGTAATTCCGGTACTTTGGGAGGCCGAGATGGGTGGATCACCTGAGGTCAGGAGTTCGAGACCAGCCTGGCCAACATGGTGACACCCCATCTCTATTAAAAAAAAAAAAGAAAGAAAAACGAACAAAAAAAGGGAGAGGGTTTGGGTTTGGCCATGTTGATCAGGCTGGTCTTGAACTCCTGGCCTGAAGTGATCCACCCACCTCAGCCTCTCAAAGTTCTGAGATTACAGGTTTGAGCTACCATGCCCAGCCACCTGTCTAGTTTCTGAACCATGCTCTGTGTATAAAAGCATGCCACTCCAGTAAATTAACATATAATTTCTAAGTTGCAAATTTGCTAATTAATTCATTTTAGCTTCTGAAGACTTCTTTGATAAATTAACCGTGGAACAGGAGTTTATGTCTGGAATAGACACCGATAAGGTATGTGGACAAAAAAACCTCTTTAACAAGTAATTAAAAGCTTATTAAACATTAGATCATAGTCAGAAAAGCAACTGCTTTGATTCCCATGCCTTGCCTACATTTTTTTTTTTTTTGAGACAGAGTCTCACTCTGTTGCCCAGGCTGGAGTACAGTGGCACGATCTCGGCTCACTGCAACTTCTGCCTCCCAGGTTCAAGTGATTCTCTTGCCACAGCCTCCTGAGTGGCTGGGATTACAGGCATGTGCCACCACGCCTGGCTAATTTTTTTTTTTTTTGTTTGTTTTTTTTTGTTTTTTTAATTATCTCCAGTAATGGGTATAAGCAAATTTTTGTATTTTTAGTAGAGACGGAGTTTTACCATTTTGGCCAGGATGGTCTCAAACTCCTGACTTCAGGTGATCTGCCCGTCTTGGCCTCCCAAAGTGCTGGGATTACAGGCATGAGCCTCTGCGCTCAGCCGCCTAAATATTTTTAAAAACAAATACAAAATGTGCAAGTGTAGATTTTATAATGTAACAGATATTTACCGTTATTCTGTGCAAGACTCTTTCTGCCATACATGGCAAGATGAGACCAAGCCCCTGAAATCAAATATTTTTAAATTAAGATATTTGCTCTTTTGAGAGAGTTTCTTATATAATTCCTTTAAATATCTAACTCTGTTAACAAATTTTTTTTTTTTTAAAGATGGGGTTTCACCATGATGGCCAGGCTGGTCTTGAACTCCTGACCTCAGGTGATCCACCCACCTTAGCCTCCCAAAGTGCTAGGATTACAGGCGTGAGCCACCGCGCCCAGCCGTTAACAAATTTTAAATTAACTTTATGAAAATTCCTAACATTAAACAATTACTGACACTTTTTGCTAGATAAATTGTTGATATTATTGAAATGGACTAGGTACCTGGTAGCCTCTCAGAAGCACTTCCTTAGAGACAGATGGGTCCAGACAGACATTTGGAGTGACCAATTGTATTCTCAGTGGTCTTGGGCTCCAGTGACTTGGCCTAATCACTTGGGTGGTGTTTTTGTGTGTGTGTGCATGTGTGTGTGTGTGTGTGTGTGTGTGTGTGTCTTAGCCAAGGTGTGTATGTGGCTGGGGCTAGGAGAGCTATTTCAGGGAGGGGTTAGGGATTGTGAAAAAATAACTGATTTTCCCATATATCATAATATATGATATATGGGAAAATAATAGTAAACATCAAGTTCTTTTAAGTTCCCAAACCGGGTATTGTGTGTGTGTGTGTGTGTACACGTACGTGTGTGTGTGTATATATATATATATGTATATGTATGCTACTTTATTTCTAGGTCAACAATTACATTGAGGATTGTATTGCCCAAAAGCACTCATTGATCAAGGTGTTAAGACTAGTTTGCCTCCAATCTGTGTGTAATAGTGGGCTCAAACAAAAAGTTTTGGATTATTACAAAAGAGAGATTCTCCAGGTAAGTATATTTTAAAATTATTAATTTGCCAAGGGGGACAGCATCTTTTTAAAAAATACTTCATGGGCCAGGCACAGTGGCTTACGCCTATAATCCTAGCACTTTTGGAGGGCGAAGCAGGTAGATCACTTGAGGTCAGGGGTTTGAGACCAGCCTGGCCAACATGGTGAAACCCTGTCTCTACTAAAAATACAAAGATTAGCTAGGCGTGATGGTGTGCACCTGTAGTCCCAGCTGTTTGGGAGGCTGAGCCAGAAGAATTGCTTGAACTCAGGAGGCGGAGGTTACAGTGTGCCAAGATCACACCACTGCACTCCAGGCTGGGTGACACAGTGAGACTCTGTCTCAAAAAATAATAAAAAATAAAATTTTTTTTTAAATAAAAAATTCAAAGCTGCCATTTTGGTATATTATTACCACTGTTTTTCAAATTTTTTAACACCTAGAGGAATTGGTCTTGGAAGCCATCATTGCTTATTATATTTGTGTGATAATAGCTAACAGGCTGGGCACAGTGGCTCACCCCTGTAATCCCACTATTTTGTAGGACTGAGGCAGGAGGATCCTGGAGGCCAAGACCAGCCTGGGCAACAAAGCTGTTTTAACAGAAAGTAAAAAATAATGATAGCTAACATTTATTGAACATCTACTCTATGCTAGGGTCTATTGGAAAAGCTTTATGTGCATTTGTTTAATCTTTACAACATTGTACCTTATTAACTGTAGTTAACAACAACAGCAACAACAAATCTTCACAACCACCCTGTGAGTTAGACACTGTTATCATCCCAGTTTTATGGATGAAAAGCTGAGGCGCAGACTAGTTTAGGTAACTCACCCAAGGTTACCTGGCTGGTAAGTGGCACAGCCAGTGGTAAAACCCAGGCAATTTGGATGTAGCGCCCATGTTCTTAACTTGGCAATTATACAATGGAGGAAAAGAACTTTCTGCCAATTTCTGATAACAGTTGCTTAGCAGATTTACTTAAAGTAAGCCTGTGTTACTTTGTAATAAGGAAGAGCCAACTCTTATTTTAAAAAATTCTCCCCTTTGTTTGAAAATGGTTCAGGTAGTATTTCTTTGCTATTACCAGGTGTAGTTCAGTACATTTTTATTAAAATCGAGTGCTCATTAATTTTTTGTTTTTGTCTTTTTTCAAGTTATACATTCTTGTATAAGAGTCAAATAATGCGGAAGTACACGGAACAAAATGTGAACATCCCCTGTACCCTGCTCATACCCGCATTTCCCTCCCCAGATGTGACTAGTGTCAGCAGTCTGGTTTGCTTCCTTCCAAACTCCATTCTTTGCATTTATAGACAGAGAATCTTTCCATACACAGACTTCAGAGCGAGATTGGCTGGATCCTTCAGCTCTGCTCTTCACTAACTGTGTGACCTTAGGCAGGTTACTGAAACATCTCTGTAAAATGAAGATAATAATGATACCCACATCATGGGGTTAGAGCCAGGATGACTGAGTTAATATATGAAAGTGCTTAGACCAGAACGGGGCCCAGCTCTTCGAAAGTATTACAGAAATGTTGGCTACCTTTTAAAATTTATTTATTTTTTGAGACAGTGTCTCACCCTGTTGCCCAGGCTGGAGTGCAGTGGCACAATCTTGGCTCACTGTAATCTCTGCCTCTTGGGTTCAAGCCATTCCCCTGCCTCAGTCTCCTGAGTAGCTGGCATTACAGGTACTTGCCACCAGGCCCAGCTAATTTTTGTATCTAGGAGAGGGGGTTTCACCATGTTGGCCAGGCTGGTCTTAAACTCCTGACTTCAAATGATCTGCCTGCCTCAGTGCTGGGATTATAGGCGTGAGCTACTGTGTCCAGACCCTTGGCAACTTTTTTTTCTTTTTTTTTTTTTTTTTGAGTTGGAGACTCACTCTGTTGCCCAGGCTGGAGTGCAGTGGCATGATCTTGTCTCATTGCAACTTCGACTTCCAGGGTTCAAGCTATTCTCCTGCCTCAGCCTTCTGAGTAGCTAGGACTATAAGCACACGCCACCATGCCTGGCTTATTTTTGTATTTTCAGTAGAGGTGCAGTTTCACCATATTAGTCAGGCTGGTCTTCAACTTCTGACCTCATGATCCACCCCCCTTGACCTCCCAAAGTGCTTGGATTACAGGTGTGAGCCACCATGCCCGGCCCTTGGCTACTTTTAAAAAATAGAAATAATATCCTAATCTACACAATATTTTCTATTGTTTTTAATATGTCCTGGAGAGCTTTCTTATTAGGATGTATAGATATGCCTTATTCTTTTTTAGAGCTAATTATATTCAGTATATAAATACACTGTTATTTATTTGATGCTCACTTATGTTGGATCCATAAATTCTGACTTTAAAGTAAAATTTTAAATTTCTCTTTGGAACTGCTAATTAACAGTAGCAGGTGAAGCAGTTTTAGGGCAGGTTTCATCCCTCCACCCTGTCCTCTGTGCCCGTCCACTGGCATTGCTGGACTTCGGTAGCACGTCCTGCAGTACAAACCAAATTGATTTGTTGGAAGTGCCCTTCTTTGAAAATTGCAGAAATCCTTTTCCTGATCCAACATCAAGGCCAAATGACTTCCCTTGCAGACATACGGCTATGAGCACATATTGACCTTACATAACCTGGAGAAGGCTGGCCTGCTGAAACCACAGACGGGGGGCAGAAACAATTACCCGACTATTCGGAAAACATTACGCCTCTGGATGGATGATGTCAATGAGCAGGTATGCCACACTTACCTCATCTCAGCTTAGTGACTGGTTAGATCATCCACATGACAACATATACTTCTGAACCTACACATTTGCCTTGCTTTCTAAAAACAGTGTTCTAATGTTTTTGAAAAAGTAGTGTATTCATGTATGGTATCTATCAGAATCCCAGTAGGAAACAGAGAATACATTTAAACCGGGGAGTTTATCTAGAGAGTTTAATAAAGATGTGGGCCAGGCACAGTGGCTCACGCCTATAATCCCAGCACTTCGGGAGGCTGAGGTGGGCAGATGACTTGAGCTGAGGAGTTTGAGACCAGCCTGGCCAACATGGTGAAACGCCATCTCTACTATACATACAAAAATTAGCTGGGCGTCGTGGTGCACGCCTGTAACCACAGCTACTTGAGGGGGTGAGGCAGGAGAATCGCTTGAACCCAGGAGGTGGAGGCTGCAGTGAGCTCAGATTGCTCTACTGCAATCCAGCCTGGACAACACAGCAAGACTCTCTCTCAAAAAAAAAAAAAAAAAAAGATATGGGGTCAGGTGCAGTGGCTCATGCCAGTAACCCCAGTATATCAGGAGGCTGAAGCATACAGATTGCTTGAGTCCAGTAGTTTGAGACCAGCCTGGGCAACATGGCAAAACCCTGGCTCTACAAAAAAAAAAAAAAGCTAATGGTGGCACGACTCTTTAGACCGGGAGCCTGTGGTTGGAGGACCACTGAGCCTGGGAGGCAGCTAAAGTGAATCATGTTTGCACCACTGCACTCCAGCCTGGGCGACAGAGTGAAACCCTGTCCCAAATAAAGGTGTGGCAAGAGTGGACACCGGTAAGAGGCAGTGCAGGGAGGAGTCAGTGCCAGCCAAGGCCTGAAGGGCAAGGAGAGGGGGCTGTTCTAGAAACTCATCTTGGAACCTGGAGCGAAGAGCTGTAGTGGGGCCATCTGATGAGGTAAGGGGTGAGGGGCCTCTCGCTGAAGGTACGGTCGACCTCCAGCAGAGGAAGCCGGCCATGACAACCTTGTCCTCACATTACCGCCCACTCTCCAGTCCACTCTGAGGCTTTGCATTCTCCAAAGAGAAGGCATTGGAGAGTGTTGGTGTCAGACCTACAGGCCCATCTCTGGGCATAGAGCATTGCAGACAAGGGTGGAGAGGAGTTGGGAGATGTCCAGCACTCGTAAACAAACCAGCCATGGCTGGGCACAGTGGCTCACACCTGTAATCCCAGCACTTTGGGAGGCCAAGGCAGGAGGATCACTTGAAGTCAGGAGTTTGAGACCAGCCTGGCCAACATGGTGAAACCCTGTCTCTACCAAAAAATACAAAAGTGATCCTCCAAAAACTGGAAAAAAAATACAGATGGTGAAGCATGTACCTGTAGTCCCCGCTACTGTACTCGGGAGGTTACGGTGGGAGGATCACTTGAGCCTGGGAGGTAGATGCTGCAGTGAGCCGAGACTGCACCGCTGCACTCCAGCATGGGCAACAGAATGAGACCCTGTCTCAAAGTTTAAAAAGGCTATGCAGAAGCAGGGCCATCAGGGTCAAGTGAGTTTCCTTCCACAGTTTCCCCTCAGAGGCAGCCACTATGGCCAGCTTTTTATCTATCCTTCCAGAAAGATTCTATGCATATACAAACATTTTTACACAAAGTGCATATTCTTTACTGTTGGTCTCCAAAGTGGGGTGCACTTTGCTTTACATTTATTATTTATTCTAATGTTTCTAAATTTCAGTCTTTTTTGGTTTTTCATAAGGGACTTTATTAGGCTGCCTCTTGCAACAAAAGCTCGTAACTAGACAGTCTCCTCTGTCAGGAGCAAAATTGGATTTTTTTTTCCCAGTGGGAAAATAGAGATCCCTAATGTATATCATGTACGTATTAGTTCAGCTGTCTTCACCGTCCTGACCTTTCTGTCTCTGGTCTCACCCACCACTTAACAAAAGGATCTTGAAGAGTCTTCTGTGGTCTTCCCCTTCTTTTTAATTTTTCTAAATTGCTACATAGTGGTTTTGAGGCCATACCTTATTTAACAGATTCCAGTTGATAGAAATTCTGGTTGTTTCCAGTCTTTGCTATTACATGCAGTGTTGCAGTAAATATGTTTATACTTTGGTCTATTATCTTTTGTTCTGCAAGCAACTCTGTAGGATTAATGCCTAAAAGTAGAATAGCTAAGTTCAAACGTAATTGCGCATCATTGCTCAGCTAGGGAGTGCCAAGTTCCACCCACACAAGAAGTCTCCTGCTGGCTGGACACGGTGGCTCGCACCTGTAATCCCAACACATTGGGAGGCCAAGGCGGGTGGATCACCTGAGGTCAAGACCAGCCTGGCCAACATGGTGAAACCCCATCTCTACTAAAAATACAAAAAATTAGCCAGTAGTGGTGGTGCACACCTGTGATCCCAGCTACTTGGGAGGCTGAGGCAGGAGAATTGCTTAAACTTGGGAGGCCAAGTTTAAGGTTGCAGTGAACTGAGATTGCACCACTGCACTCCAGCGTGGTTGAGAGAGCCAGACTCTGTCTCAAAAAAAAAAGAAGTTTCATGTCAGACCAAGTAACAGTTTTTCATCTGTACCTAGAGCTGCTTTGAGTGGCTTTTTGAGATTTGAGTCAAAAGTGAAGCTCTGGCTGCTAAAATTGAGCCCCGCTGGGCTGGATTAGAACAGGGCATGGCAGGGGTGGCAGCTGTATATCTGTCTTTAAATCCAAATCAAATAATTTTGGATTACCCAAAAGGCCACAGTCAGGGAGCTCTAAGACTCTGTATCAACAGGCTTTTGTTCTTTAAATCTCACAGAACCCCACGGACATATCCTATGTGTACAGTGGCTATGCCCCACTCAGCGTGCGGCTGGCTCAGCTGCTCTCCCGGCCTGGCTGGCGGAGCATCGAGGAGGTCCTCCGCATCCTCCCAGGGCCCCACTTTGAGGAGAGGCAGCCACTGCCCACAGGACTGCAGAAGAAACGTAAGTCCCAGTCCAGCATCTACAGATAATTATGTACTGTCAGTGTGGTTTTCAGGTATTGTACAGTTGGCTTTGTAAAATACTTGGTAAAGCACATAGGAGTCAGAATTAAATATACCTCTTTTGTTCGTTGCTATTGTATATAGTAAGCACTAGGATCAGATTATTCCCTGAGGGGTAATAGCTTTCAGTCTCTATGTTGAGAATCTCAGGAGTTAGAAAACACATTGAGATTAAAATCAGTGTTCCTGGGTTTCAAATGAACTGTCTGGATGAAGACTCTTGTTTATTATGAATGATAAAATGTTTGAAGGGGTAGGAAGAGAAGCACCACTAATAAATAGTTTTTTAATTCTGAAATGTTTACATTTTAGGTCAACCGGGAGAAAACCGAGTCACTCTGGTGTTTTTCCTCGGGGGCGTAACCTTTGCTGAAATTGCTGCCCTGCGATTTCTTTCCCAGTTGGAAGATGGAGGTACAGAATATGTCATTGCCACCACTAAACTAATGAATGGAACCAGTTGGATAGAGGCTCTGATGGAAAAACCATTCTAGGGTGTTCAGAAGAGACCTAACAAGTGTACTGCAGAGTAAACTGCCTCATTGAAGAAGTTGCTGAAAGGAAGTAAAACCCCATAGAAGAAACATGGGGTTACAGAATATAACCTGGGGTCAGCTTCTTAAATTATACTCCTGTTTACTCCTTTCTCCTTCTCTTTTGTATTTCTTTTCTTTTGTGGTGGGGGGATGGAGTTTTGCTCTGTCACCCAGGCTGGAGTACAATGGCCTGATCTCACCTCACTGCAACCTCCGCCTCCTGGGTTCAAGTGATTCTCCTGCCTCAGCCTCCTGAGTAGCTGGTACTGCAGGCATGCGACACCACGCCTGACTAATTTTTCTATTTTTAGTAGAGATGGTGTTTCACCATGTTGGCTAGGCTGGTCCTGAACTCCTGACCTCAGGTGATCCACCTGCCTCATCCTCCCACAATACTGGGATTACAGGTGTGAGCCACCATGCCTGGCCTCTAATCTTCTGAAGAAAGAAGAATAGAAGAGAATCAGCCTGAGTGAAAGAAGCACTGGTTTTGAGGTTTCTAAGCTCAGGGTCTTCATTAGAGACCTCTGGAAATACGTTAAGGATGGTGGGGGTAGATATACATTCAGCCACACAAATGGGGCCAGCTCTTAAAGCTGAGACTAAGGAGGTAAAACTGGAAATAAAAAGAGGAAGTCCATCCCTAATCTCCAGCGCTGTATTTCTTCAAGGCACATCTGGCCTAGGACAGTGATTAAGTGTTAGGAGCTGGAGATCATTTTATCACTGAGTTGAGATTTCTTTTTCCTGCGAGTATGGGAGATTATATTTAGGGTCACCAGTTCCTGTCTCAACTGATCACTAAGGCAGCTTTGCTTCCTTCTTACAAAGCAAGAGGTTTGGGGGAGCTTCTTGGCCAGCAACAAAGTTTATGCTCTGTGGGATCAGCTACATCTCTCTAGGTTCCATACTTATCAGGGGCTTTTGACATGAAAGAATGTGATAATTGGGGAGCAGCCTTCTGAGAATTCAGCTTTGAAAGAATTCAAAGACACTTTCTGGTTTTTCGTTTTTGTCTTGAGACAGCGTCTCGCTCTGTCACCCAGGCTGGATGGAGTGTAGTGGCGTGATCTCGGCTCACTGCAACCTCCATCTCCCAGGTTCAAGTGATTCTCCTGCCTCAGCCTCCCGAGAAGCTGGGATTACAGGTGTGCACCACCATGCCTGGCTAATTTTTGTATTTTTAGTAGAGATGGGGTTTCACCATGTTGGTCAGGCTGATCTTGAACTCCTGATCCACCCACCTCAGCCTCCCAAAGTGCTCAGATTACAGTCATGAGCCTCCGTGCCCAGCTTCAAAGACACCTCCTTAGCACACACATTATTAACTCCAGACACAGCAGTGGTGGACGCCTGCATTGTGGTTTTCATTTTCTCTTCTGTCATCATGGGCCCACCATCCAGCTGATCCCACAGTGAGCAGGGGCAGCTCTTGCCTCTTCAGCCTCTGGCCACTTCATCTCCATGGTAACTGCCACATGTACTTTTCCAGTAGTCTGCGACCACTCCATACCCAGCTGAAAACACTCTGTTTCAGCCCCCTCTCTGGTGAACTCAGCCTTCTCCAGTTGTATCTCTTGATGATCTTGGAAACCAGCAGTCACAGCTGCTGCTACTTATGCAGGGGACTGTCAGGCTGTGGTGGAGAGTAGGGGTGTTGGAGGGGAAGTTGGAAATCCATGTGTTCCCTGCTTCTAAGCTGCTCCATCTCAGCTTCTGGAGGAGTTGAGGCACCAAGAATGGCACTAAGGTTGGTCACTTCGCTGTCCTTGCCCAAGCCTCCAGCAAAATTAGCTGGTCCCCTGCTCTACTGGATCTCAGCCAGCTGTGGTTTTGGTTGTTACTTAGTAACCACACATTGTTTTTCCTCACTTTTTTCATTAGTGGAGTGTTTTTGTTTGTTTGTTTGTTTTTTCGAGACGGAATCATGCGCTTGCCCAGGCTAGAGTGCAGTGGTGCGATCTCGGCTCACTGCAACCTCCACCTTCTGGGTTCAAACAATTCTCGTGCCTCAGCCTCCCATGTAGCTTGGATTATAGACGTGTGCCATCGCACCCGGCTAATTTTTTGTACTTTTAGTAGAGATGGGTTTTTCACCATGGCTGGTCTCAAACTCCTGACCTCAAGTGATCCACCCGCCTCAGCTTCCCAAAGTGCTGGGAGTACAGGCATGAGCCACCGTACCCGGACCTTTAGTGGAGTTCTGATGGGCACGGTAAATGTTATTAATGAAAGAGAAATTCTGTATACTTTAAAAAAATCTCTTTAGTAAAAGAATGAAGGGTGTCAGAGATAATATTTGAAAGATTTGTTTCTCATGGAATTAATTTGGCCTTGACATTCAGTATTTGGGAAATGTCTTTAAGAAAACCATTCTTGTTGTAGGAAATCCTTTTTCAAATGCTTGTTATCCCAGGGAGGTTAGTTTATACCTTCCACCTCAGGCAGTCATCAGCTGCTTTAGAGAATGAAATCTACCCTGCCCCTCTATGTTTTGGCTCCTGGGGCTCAATTCAGGTCTGTTCAAGTCTCCCTGGCTGGGGATTCTGTCCTGTGAACAGATACTCAGTTGTAGTGTCATGTGTCTGCATTCACTCATGCTTGCTTGCTCAGAACATAGCTAGGTCAGCTCTTAAAAATGCATTCAGCAGAAGACTTTAAAACATCAATTGCTTCATTTGTATCCAAATAGAAAGTGGCAGATAATTATATATCGTATGCCTTTGTGTAAGTTCATTTAATACTTGAAGCAGTCTTTGTCGCAAAAGAGTGTGCCCTTACGGAGAAAGGATATGTGAACTGTACATTTATTGTTGGAGAGAGTGGATTGTTTACATCATGTCTGCACTTTTGTCTAGTTGGGTAGACAGTTCTACACCAGCAGCCCCCAACTAAAGAAGTCTACATAGACACTGTTTTGTGTCTTGCTACACAGTGTTGAATTCTAGCCAATAGAGAATTAAGTATTTGTTAATTGTGGAGCAAAAGAGTAATGGTAAAAGAGGGATGATTTCAAACAGCACATGTAATTTTCAGAGAAAGCTGGGACAGTCTCATTGTGAGTTTTTTTTTTTTTGTTTTTTTTTTTGAGACAGAGTTTCGCTCTTGTTACCCAGGCTGGAGTGCAATGGCACGATCTCAGCTCACCGCAACCTCCGCCTCCTGGGTTCAGGCAATTCTGCCTCGACCTCCTGAGTAGCTGGGATTACAGGCACGCGTCACCATGCCCAGCTAATTTTTGGTATTTTTAGTAGAGACGGGGTTTCACCATGTTGACGAGGATGGTCTCAATCTCTTGACCTCATGATCCACCCGCCTCGGCCTCCCAAAGTGCTGGGATTACAGGCTTGAGCCACCGCGCCCGGCTCATTAGGAGTTCTATTCCATTTAGATCTTTCCTCACTGGAAATGGATTATGATTAAGCATGACATGCTGGTCTGTCTTGTTCTCAGTTGTTCAGTAAAGACCAGCCTGTCACCAGGAGGAAGTGTTTGTATTGAGCAGAGTTTAATTCAAGAAGAAATTTTTTTTTTGAGATGAGGTCTTACTCTGTTGGCCAGGCTGCAGTGCAGTGGCACAATCATATAGCTCACCTCAGCCTCGAACTCCTGGGCTCAAGCAGTCCTCCTGCCTCAGTCTCATAAGCAGCTGGGACTGTAGGAGTACACCCAGCTTTTTTTTTTTTTTTTTTCCTGTGACAGGGTCTATGTTGCTCAAATTCCTGGCCTCAAGAGAAATAATTTTTTTCTTTTTTATTAAATGTATTAACTTTTTAATTTTCTATAGAGACAGTCTCACTATGTTGGCCAGGGTGGTCTCAAACTCCTAACTTCAAGCAGTCCTCCTGCCTCAGCCCCCGCAAAGTGTTGGGATTACAGGTGTGAGCCACCACATCAGCTGAAAGACTCTTTTTAAAATATCAAAATGAACTGGATGTCTAAAGCAGACAGTAAGAAGGACTCTGATAAAGAGGGACTATGATAAAGATCGTGAGGCATAGAAATGCAGACATCATGTAGACAATCTTTGGACTGTGAATTTACTGTAAAATCTGACATATTCAATCATGTGGTTTAATATGACATCCCATAGAAAATAGAGGATACTTTTTTTGTCAGACAACAGAAGCAAAAGGCAGTTATTTAAAATTTCTCAGATTCTTTTTATTTCTAAATGGATAAGTGTGAATTTCCAGCCACATAGTGTTTCTTAGCTTCAGTTACTCTGTTGCTGTGAAACACCCAAAATCGGATGGTAACAAGAGGCTACAAAGGCTAGAACGTGTAACTGCCTGGAGACATCCATTTGGAGGATGTGAGAGTTAAAAGGGAACAGAATCAGGCCTATTTTTAATAGCCTGTCTGGTTCATCCATTATTTTGGTGTGGGGGACGGTATAAATCTCAGCTGTACTCTGTTTCCAGTAGGTAGGACACGGAAGATAACCAGTTCTCGGGGGTAGTAATTACTACTCACTGGCTTCCTGAGCAGCTTGATAATGTTCTGCTCCTGTTTTCAGCCTCACTGTGGCCAAGGCAATAATTTGATAATAAGAGATCCTGATTAAATTAAGGAGCCATTTGCTTCTGGATGATGATGTTGATAAAAGGGTTGATGTCCACACTGCCTGCTCTTTCAAAGGTCAAAAAACAGTCTTGAAGTAAAAACTGCAACAAGCAAAATAATCGGAAGTAGCTTAGTTTGTGTTTTCATTTCCTTTGTTGTTGCATCTGGGAAAGTGTTCATTGCAGAAATCGTCACTGGCTCCTTTTGCCTCACATTTGGAGGAGGTGAAATTGGAAGTGTCACATTGGAAAGGTGCCTGCCTGTACAATGAGTCTGTAAGCTGCGAAACTCTGTAAATTGCAATCAAGCACTTGGGAGATTTCGGTCACCTAAGCTTGGTTCTCACACACGTGCATGCTTGCATTTGCATGTTTTTTAAGACAACAGCTTTTGTTTTATTTGGGCGGTCATAAGTGACCACTGGTGCAGTGGTTCTTCTGGTGCCCAGACTCGGAGGAGATGGGACTGCTCTCCATGTGTCAGAAACGAAACTACTGGCACTCTAACCTCTTACAGTATTGAGAAAAACACAAGACAAGAAGGGGCTTGAACTACCCACTAGTGTACCACCTGCTCAGCCCATCTAGGTCTGTGAAACCACAGCTGAGCCCTGTGGGCTGTGGTGGTGAGGGCGGAGGGCGGGCAGGGTTGCCAGCGCCCCGCCTGGGCTGGGAACGCCTGTGCGCAGCTCCCTGAGAGCTCAGGGACCACGCGGAGGTTGTAATTGGTCTCTAGACCACACCTAGTTGTTGAGTGCCGCTGCTTGAAAATCTCAGCTCTGCTGAGATCGCGGAGTACACACAAGCTACCTTTGGGCACCAGAGCAGACAGGGGACCGCGGAGCTTCTGGGTGGAACAGTCTGGAAACTTTGCCAAGTAAGTGAGATGGGAGAGAGGGAAGCCAGTGCCTGGCACTGCGGGGAGTGGCTGGGCAGGTCAGCAGTGGCAGTGCGGTAGGGTTCCTACTGTCTGGTGAGCTGGTGTGGGGTTCTTACTGTCTGATGCCGTCTCTGGTGGAAGTTAGCAGCGCGGGGGCAGATGCAGAGAGCACGGTAGGGGAGGCGAGCCCAGGATCGGA